GTTTTATCTTTCAACTTTTACCTTGCCGAGGCCTATGCTACGCTGCTGCTGCTGCTGCTGCTGCCCGTGTTTGATTCTACGCGCCCGTGACCTGAGCTCAACAGGGAAAGTCAACCTCACTAGGCCCCGCCTGCTTCCTCGTTGGGCCCCGCCCCCTTCCTGATCAGGCCACACCTCTATCTGTTTAGCTCACACCCCTTCCTCGAGACACACTAGAGGTCGCAACCGGGTACCCGATACCCGTACCCTACCCGATGCCCGGCTACCCGTACCCGGCCGGGTACGGGTAGCCGTTTGCGACCCTGGTGCGGCCGGGTACGGGTAGGCCGTGAGTCACTGGTGAGTAGCCGTTTGTCACTCATTTCGGGTACGGGTACGGGTAGGGAACGGCTACCCGTACCCGGCCGGGTGCGGGTATGGGTACGGGTACCCATTTGCGACCCTGGTGCGGCCGGGTACGGGTAAGGAATCAAAACCCGTTTGCGACATCTGAGACACACACACACAGGGTTGGCCTAGTTCGGGTCGTGTGCCCGCAGCAGCAATTGAGACTGCAAGAATCTGTACTCTTAGGTTTTGTCGGTAAAGTCTTAAACCTAAGAGTATGAATCCTTGCAGGTCACGAAAGCCTTAAAATCTAGAATGCAAGAATCTGATTCCTCAGTCGACATAAAGATTCTGATTCTGTATTGTTTGTGGTTGTAACTTGCTGACCCATTTTGCTGACCCCCTGTGCCCCTACTGGACATCTGTGACAAGGAGCAATTCCTCCTACAGTCTAAATTAAGATTCTGATTCTAAATGAAGATTCCGAGCCACCTGGCGTGGTGTTCAGTAAATGTCGCCACTGGGGAGGCAAAGGCCGCCGGGCGTGGTGCTGCTGGCCACCCCACCGCCTCGCGTGCCGTGCCGATCCTTCGTAGGTGCCGCTCGCTAACAGCACCTGCACGTACGTTGAACTTCCTTCGCACCGTACGTAGCCCCTCTGATTACCCTCTTCCGCACCCCCCTGCCACCACCTCCCCCCCGCCCCGGCTCCCCAGGCCATTCTTCGACGCGAGCGACGGGATCTTCCTCAACTACGCCTGGACCTCCGAGGGGCTGGGCCGCAGCGCTGAGCTCGCCGGGTCGCGGCGCGCCGATGTCTACGCCGGGTCGACGTGTTCGGCCGGGGGCTGCCCGGGCGCTGAGGGCTACGCCGCCAGAATAGTGACCGCACGCACACAGACGCACACAGACGCGCACACACAGGACACGCACACAGACACGCACACAGACACGCACGCAGACACGCACGCAGACACGCACACACAGACGCGCACGCAGACACGCACGCAGACACACGCAGACGCGCACGCAGATGCGCACGCAGATACAAGTGCTGTTAGCGAGCATCTATGAAGGCCGGCACGGCACACGAGGGGGTTGGTGGCCAACACCGCGCCCGGCCGCCTTTGTCTCCCTTGTGGCGATGTTTACACACCGCACCAGGTACTCATTTGAGGCTGAGTCGACCTAGGGGAGGCCCAGGACCCGGTTCAGATAATCCGTCACTAGAGTTGGCCGTAAGCGGGAATCGAACTCGGGTCGTCAGGTTCGTAGCGCAGCGCGCTAACCGCTACACTACCGCTCCTCATACACGCAGACACACATAGAGACACACATAGAGACACACACACAAAGTGCTGTTAGCGAGCACCTATGAAGGCCGGCATGACACACGAGGGGATGGGTGGCCAACACCACGCCCAGCCGCCTTTGTCTCAATCGCACCAGGTACATCGCATAAGGTACTCATTTGGGGCTGAGTCGACCCAGTTACATCTTGTGTTTGTTATACATTGGAGGAAACTGGAGAACCCAGAGGGAACCCGTGCAGAACAGGGGGAGAACACACAAACTCCACAAAGAAATACACCCGAGTCGAGAATTGAACTTATACCCTGTAGCGGTCAGCTGCGCGAACACCCTGCATGATGTTGATGATGATGGTAGTGATGATGATGACGATGATGTTCTCAGTCCATGCAGGAGATCTGGAATCTGCGTCTCTCCGCTGCCATCTTCGCCCCGGGCTGGGTCTACGAGAGACACGAGCGCCCAGACTTTCACAACCACCAGCACCGGTGTGGAGACACGGGGACGTGGGGAGACACGCGGGGAGACGCACGGGGAGACACGCGGGGAGTCACGCGGGGAGTCACACGGGGAGAGACACACGGGGAGACACGCGGAGAGACACGCGGGAGACACGTGGTGAGACACGGGGAGACACACGGAGAGACACACGGGGTGAGACACGGGGAGACACGCGTGGAGATACGCGGGGAGACACGCGGGGAGACACGCGGGGAGACACGCGGAGAGACACGCGGGGAGACACGCGGAGAGACACGCGGGGAGACACACGGGGAGACACGTGGTGAGACACGGTGGAGACACACGGAGAGACACACGGGGTGAGACACGGGGAGACACACGGAGAGACCACACGGGGTGAGACACGGGGAGACACGCGTGGAGACGCGGGGAGACACGCGGGGAGACGCGCGGGGAGACGCGCGGGGAGACAAGGGACCAGGCGACACAGGCAGACAGTGGGGACGTTGACAATGAGAGGGGAATGCGGTGGAGACACAAGCGGCCAGGGTTTCACCACGAAGAGCACCATGGGGGTGACGAGGCACGGAGACACGGGGGGGGGGGGGGCAAGGAGACACGAGGGGCCACGGAGAGACATGGAAAGACACGGAGCCAGGTGCGTGGTGTCCACCTGTGATCCAGCTTCGTTGAAGCAAAGGTTGATGGATCACACAGATCTGTGCGTGTATCTGTGGGTCGACTCGGCCTCAAATAAGTACCTGGTGCGATGTTCAAACATTTCCGCTAGGGAGACAGAGGCGGCCAGACATGGCGTTGGCCACCACCTCCTCGTACCAGCCTCCATAGGTGCTGCTCGCTAACAGCACTTGCCCCAACATTCTGTTCAAGGCTATACAGGGGATATTGTCTTTGTATATGCGTGTGTGTCTGCATCTCGTGTGTGTCTGCATCTCATGCATGTGTGCGTGTGTGTGCGCGTGGCAGGTTCTGGAGCGTCATGGTGGAGCACACAAACCCACACAGCGTCTCCACCCTCCCCATCGCCACCAGCTTCTGCCGGGGGCAGGGACGCAACCTCTACCGGCGCGGCACGGTGGGGTCGGGGGGACACGGGGTGGGGGGGTGGGCACGGGGTGGGGGGGTGGGCACGGGGTGGGGGGGTGGGCACGGGGTGGGAAGGTGGGCACGGGGTGGGGGGGTGGGCACGGGGTGGGGGGGGGCACTGGGGGTGGGGTACAGCTGGTGGTAACTCGTGTGTGGTTCGTTGGTGTGGTGGGGGTTGATAGCTTGTTGATAATAATAATATCGTTGATAACAATATTCGACTTGCAACGCTGTGGCACAGTGGTCCGCTCGCTCGCTCGGAGGAGCGTGGAGTAGGTACCACAAACAAACGGGAAGGTGGCGGCGGCAGCAGGAGCCATGCGCCGAGCCGGCGCTACCAGCAATCGGCCAAGCTCTGCGGCCCCTCTAAATGTGAAGTTGTTGTCGGCGATTAGTGAGTGTTTCTACACGCGGCAGGAAACCGGAGCACCTGGAGGAAACCCACTCGTGCGAGGGGGGGGGGAGGAACGCTGTGTGATAAACAGATGGAACACGTTGATGTTGCGGCTGTCGGGGTGGTCGGTGGTGTGACGGTGTGATTGATAACGTGGGCGGTTAGATGCGATTGGAAGATGTTCTCGATGTGGCTGGTGACCCTGGTTACCTGTATGCACGTGCGTACCTTGAACTTCTTTGGCACCGTACGTAGCCAACCGTGGCTAATCGGAGGTGCGGGAGAAGGACGACATCCGCTCGCACGTGTGAGATTCGCTCCCGCCTGGACGAAGCGAGACCGGCTTGAGACTGGACCTTGCGCGTCTCGGTCGTTGTCGCCCCCACCCCCCCCAGGTGTGCCGGGCGGGGCCGTGGCACAACCTGAGCGCCCAGAACCTGCAGCCGATCTACACGGACACCAGACACTTCAACCCCGAGGGCGCTCCCGAGGGCGCTCCCGGGGTTGCCGCGGTGGCGCCCGCGCTGGAGAGCCACGTGTACGTGCGCAGCGTGACGGACGTGGCGTTCGAGGGGGGCGGCTGCCTGCTGGTGCAAGGGTTGCTTGCTCCTGACAAGGCCCGGCTCGCCGTGCGGTGAGACATGGGGGGGGGGGGAGGCTCGGGGAGAGACGCCGGAAGGGGTGAGCTTCCTAATATGGGAATATGTCAAGCAGAACGTTTCGCAGAAGAGCCCCTGAAAGCGCACGATGCGCTTGACCGTTGATGTTCGACGCTCGCCAAAATCCGCCGCTGCGAGGATGACCGGAGCCGGTGCGCCGCTTTATTCTCCTTGACGACATCACCGTGACCGCCACTCCCCCCACTCCACCCCTGTGACCCCCCCACTCCACCCCTGTGACTCCCCCCCCCCCCCAACAGGCTGCTGAGCGTGATGGTGCATGCTCCGCCCACTCTGCTGCTCTCCTACGTGTACCGAGTTGGGGGGAGCAGCAGCGGAGAGGCTGGGGGGGGTGCGGCGGGGGACCCGGTGAGGCTGGGCCTCGAGCTCACCACCATGGACAGCACCAAGTGCACGTTCAGCAACGTGTCCGTGCTGCACGGTGACGCACGCACCACCACGGCGCTTGTGCCAGGCTAGGTGCACCACGAGGCTGCCACGTCAAGTGTCGAGGGCCTCGCTGGCGGGAGGCCCCAGGTTCCATGGTTTGACCAACTTGAATTGACTGACGCACAAATGATGTTTGCACATCGCACAAGGTACTCATTTGAGGCTGAGTCGACCTAGGGGAGGCCCATGACCAACATCGCTGGTGTTGGTCATGAGCAGGAATCGAACTCGGGTCCCCGGGTTCGTAGCGCAGCGCGCTGACCGCTACACTACCGCTCGCCACATGTACTGACGCGCACGCATATACACACGCCCATGTGTGCGATCACGTGGACCTGTGACTATCAAGTGCGTACGTGTACGTGTGTGCAGCCAAGGTTAATTTAAGTATACGTGACTTTACCGAAAGAACCAAGAAGATACGCACGTGTGTATGTCAGTGTGGACTGCCACGGCCATTGCCCCAACAGTCAAGGCTCCAAGGGAGATCTTTGTCTGTATGTGTAAAACTGTAACATGCATGTGTGTGCGTGTGTGTGTGCGTGTGTGTGCGTGTGTGTGTGTGCGTGCGTGTGCGTGCGTGTGTGCGTGTGTGCGTGTGTGCGTGTGTGCGTGCGTGTGTGAGCGCGTGTGTGTGCGTGTGTGTGCAGCACCGGTCACCACGCACCGCCCGACCGCTCTGCCGGTTGGCGACGCGGTCTCGTGTCGGCTGAGGCAGCAGTGTGGGGGGCTGCCCCCCCAGAGCTGGACTCAAAGGTCTGACTCGCAACAAAGATACAAAGATCCCCGTGTAGCCTTGACAGACTGTTGGGGCAAGTGCTGTTAGCGAGCACCTATGAAGGCCGGAACAGCGCGGCCGCCTTTGTCTCCCCAGTGGCGATATTTACACACCGCACCAGGTACTCATTTGAGGCTGAGTCGACCTAGGGGAGACCCAGGACCAGTTCACATATTCGTGAGTGGGAATCGAACTCTGGTCACCAGGTGCGTAGCGCAGCGGGCTAACCGCTACGCTACTACTCGGTGTACACACTCACGGAGAAGAAGAAAACAATCCCCCTGAGTTATACTGTCGGGGCAAGTGCTGTTAGCGAGCACCTGTGAAGGACCCGGTGCATGAGTCGGTTGTGTGGCCAGCACCACGCATGGCTGCCTTTGTCTTCCCAGTGCTGACGAGGTACTCATTTAGGCTGAGTCGACCTAGGGGATGCCACGTATTCGTCACTTTTGGCTGTGGATGGGAATCGAACCTGGGTCGGCTGGTTTGTAGCGTACAGTGTGCTATCCACTGCACCACCGCTGCTCACACACACAAGTATAGATTCACACACATATAAACTCACACGCATAAGCTCACATGGACAAACACTTGTGGACTCTCAGACTCGCACACGTGTAGAATCACACACGTGTAGACCCACGCAGTTGTAAACCCACTCTTTTCCCCATGCGTGTGCATGCGTGTGCAGGTGGGGAGCTGTCGTGTAGTGGTTCGCGCCCTGCGCTACGAACCCGGTTGGCCCGAGTTCAATTCCCGCTGACGGCCAACACCAGTCACGATAATCTGAACCAAACCTGGGCCTTCCCCGAGGTCGACTCAGCCTCAAATGATGCCATGTGTAAACATCGCCATTAGATAAACAAAGTCAGCTGGGCGTGGTGCAGGCCACCACCCACCTATCCCCTCGTGCGCCGTGCCCGGCCTTCATAGGTGCTGCTACTCGCTAACAGCAGTCGCTTAAGGCTATCGGTGAGCGGGGGGCCGTTTGCGTTGTGTGTGCGCGCGTGCAGGTGCTACCTGCTGGAGCTGCGTGACTGCATGCTGCAGGATGTGTTCGTCACGGTGGAGAAGGCCCCCGGCGTGTCGGGCCCCGTGTCCTTCCAGTGCCACCTGGGCCTCCTGCAGGTGCCCGCGGACTTTCCCTCGCTCACCACAAGCCTTGTTCACCACGAGCCTTGTTCACGCTTGAAGCGTTAGACTCGTTGCCCTCGCAGCGACCGAGGGCGCCACGGTGGCGAGGAGATGTTAACTGCCTCGCCTGGTATGCAGGAGGTAGTGGGTTCGATCCCGACCCTGACTCCTGCTGTATATTTGGAGTTTTGAGTGTGCTCCCCGTGGTTGTGTGGATTTTTCTCCTGGTTTTTCCCTTGTACATTTAGAAACGTGCATTTAGAGTATTTGTCTGCTCTAAATTTCCACGTGAATAAGCCTTCGTTGAGCTATAATGTGGCCAGGTTGCTTCTGAAAAATACCGTTATAGCTCACTGCGGCTTACCTGGTCAAATAAAAGGTTTTAGTATATAGAGCGCACGAAATATTGACCCCATCTCGTGCCCGATTAGTCTGGCTAAGGTGCCAGCGGCGATGGATAACATATCGCGAGGCGCGGGCCACACCACACGGAGGATAATCTCTCTCGCCGTGGCTTTGGCTACGCGCAACATGCCACCTACCCCGGTTGAATGGCGGACCCGGGAGAATATTCACTTAAGCCCCGGGTTGGCTTCGCGTGACCGTGGGGGAGACGTGTCGATCGGATTTCAACGACGGCGGAGGTGTGGGAGGTTTGACAGCCAGTGCTGCCTGTGCTGCCTGTGCTGCCCGTCGGCAGATGTTCGACGCGAGCGCGCTGGCGCGGGGCTGGGAGCCGTTTGGCGACGTGGGGCTGTGGGACGTGACCTGGACGAGCGGCGCCGCCCCGGCCTCCCTCCTGCTCAGCGCCACGCTGCGCTGGGACTACCCGTCGCTCCGCCTCGCGCGCTTCCGCGTCTCCTGGAGAACCCTGCCGACAGCTCACGGTGAAGCCGCCGCCGCCGCTACTGCCACCGCCACCGCCACTCTCGACGAAGGAACGGCCGAGCCAGCACTGCTGGGCGAGGCGTTCACCAGCGTGTACCGTGTGCACGAGCTGCTGCTGCCGTCCCAGGTGGGCCCCGGAGAGGCTCTGCTCGAGTTCCTGGTGCAGCCGGTGTCTCTCGAGGGCTTCGTGGCGCCGTGGAACGAGTCCGGGCGCGTGCAGATCAGCTACTGCGCACCGGCGCGGGAGGTCGGCTGCTAGCGCCGCCGCGGCTGCGGCGGGGGCAACGGCGCCACCTGCCCCAGCGCCACTCGCAATTACCTACTATAATCACCCAGAAATGTCACTCCACATGAGGCCCACCCCCGCTCATTAATACTCATGAGTGGGTATGATTTTTACACTAACGCAGAGGAAGGGCGAGCTGAATTAAATAATTTATTACACAAAGCCGCTTCAAACGACGTTTCTTGACAAAAAGTGACGGTAAAAAAATCTATGCAGCCGCACAGCTACATCCGTGCGTGACGTCACTGCAAAAGGGCCACCCCCCCCCCCACCTCATTAATATTCATGCCCTCGTGGAAAGTTACACTAACGCACAAGGTCGCGCACTCCACATGCTGCTCCCCTCCCTTTATTAATAACCATGAGCGGGTGATGTCACTCCACATGCTGCTCCCCTCATTAATAAGCATGAGGGGGTGACGTCACTCCACATGCTGTACCCCTCTACATTAACCAATAGCGGGTGACGTCACTCCACATGTGGCAACCCCCCCCTCCCCCTCATTAATAATCATGAGCTGAACAATTTTTCTATTGAATATTTCAGATTTACTGCAATATACACCCGTCCTTGGACGGGCAAAAAAGCCAGTCGACAATAAACTGCTCTTGCAAGAACTCGGTGCCTCCGCTTCGATGCCTGTGTTTGGTTGCTGTCAGGGCAGCGAAACAAAGCTACTTTCTGGCAGAGGTCGCAAACGTGTTTTGATTCCTTAGCCTTACCCGGCCGCACCAGGGTCGCAAACGGGTACCCGTACCCGGCCGGGTACGGGTAGCCGGGTATCGGGTAGGGTACGGGCATCGGGTACGCGATTGCGACCTCTGCTTTCTGGGGACTCAACCGGGACACATTCACTATTTTATAAAATCTGTATCAGGCAAGGCCCCAATGAGCAGGTGAAAAATCTAAACGCATGTTTCTAAATGTGGAGGGATAGACCAGGAAACCCGGAGAAAAATGCGCACGACAACGGGGAGAACACGCAAACTCCAAATAAACAGCAGGCGTCAGGGTCGGGATTGAACCCACGACGTTCTGCATACCGGGCGAGGGAGTTCACATTTTGCCACCACGATGCCCCACACGGCGAGTTGGATACCCCTCCCTTCGTGCCGACTGCCCACTTTTACATAACCATGCCGCACACAGCAAGTTGCCTCCTGGCACTTTCGGAACTATGACTCCACCCCACTACTCGGGAATTCCCACCATTACTCCCGCACGAGTGAAGCATGCAGTTGGAATATTTAAACCGGGGGGTAAATCCTGATGTTTACAATCGTGACCAGAGACACCGGGGGTTGGAAGAGAACTTTCTTACACCAACGGGACCGTCTCGCTCCAAACGCGGGAGAAGTTTGGTAGCTTCGGGCTAAGGTACCACCGGTGTACTCTGCTGGCCGTCGCGTTCAAACCCTGAGGCTTTCCCCTTGACAAAGATACCAAGCATCTTCTTGGTTCTTTCAGTAAAGTCACGTAGAAGGGAAATAATAAAATAATAAAAATAAAACAATAAAAACATAATTAAATAATTCTCACGACGTTTCGGCCACAACGCAAGCAGCCGTCCTCAGGTGGGTGTCTTTCCGACAGACCTGTTCTTCTGAATGACGTCTTTCCGACAGACCTGTTCTTCACCTGAGGACGGCTGCTTGCGTTGTGGCCGAAACGTCGTGAGAATTTTATCTTATTATGTTTATTTTTATTATTTTATTATTTTCCTTCTACGTGACTTTACCGAAAGAACCAAGAAGATGAACCCCTGCAGTCACGAAAGCTTTAAATCGAAAAGATACCAAGTTCGCACGACCACCAGTTTGCAAAGTGGCGAGTGTGCTCGGCCCGGGATCCCCACGGTGGCCTCGCCAGGCCGAGGGTCGCACGTTGAAATGGGTCGCACCGCTCCCATTGCGCGCCTCTCTCTCCGTGGTCGCGTGGATTTTTCTCCACGTTTTTCCCTCCACATTTAAAATCGATGTCCCGCGTTTAGAGGATTTGGCTACTGCTATAAATGAGGACGGTGCCGTGATAAGCCACTTCGTTGAGAGCCATCACTTGTGACAGCCAGGTCGTTTCTGAACAAAAAGCTATACAGCTAAGCGGGCCTTACCTGGTAAAATAAAATAGTTTATAGTTAAATAGTGCAAAACATCTCTCCGGCACAAGCTCCAATCAGTGCATGCTTTATTAACGAACACGTACGTCGTACGAGCTGCCACTGTGGCGTGGCGGTTTAGGGGGGGGGTCACCTGACTTCAGAGGTCACCGGTTCAGAGGTCGGATCGGTTTCGATCCCCCAAGCTCGGCAGTTGAAACGACGGCGCATGTTTTGTGAATATCCCCGCCCCCCCCCCCACACCACCACCATCGTCAGAGCCCGGCAGTACGAATGGGCACACCCACAGTTAGTCGATCGGCAGCGGGGGCGTTGATACGCAAGTACTCCTACTTATTCCAAGACATCTGAGCCAGCGCAGAGCTCCCTCTGGTGGGAGGGGGCCCCTCCCGCTACAGCAGTGGTGCAACCGAGAAATTACAGAGTTGCACCTCTGCCTTTTTTACACGAGTGTGCGTCATCCCCTACCTCGACCCCCGTCACCACTGGTGGCCCTGCTCCCTGTCCCCCGTCGCGCGCGTCTGGAAAGTGGTGGTGACCAGCTCTCTCAGAGCTCTCCCCGAGTCGGCCTCTCCCAGCCAATCAGAGGCGACCTCCCGGAGGTCAGGGGGGTCACGAGGAGTGGCGGCGCGGTACGCTTCCTGTGCCGCGGCAAGGTCGCCACGGCCGGCTTGACCGCTGGGCTGACTGCCGGCTTGACCGCTGGGCTGACTGCCGGCTTGACCGCTGGGCTGACTGCCGGCTTGACCGCCGGGCCGACCACCGGGCTGACTGCCGGCTTGACCGCCGGCCTGATCGCTGGGCTGACCCGGTCCATTCAGGCAGCCTGGCGAGACAAAACCAGTCCCGAGTGTCACGCTGCTCCACCGTCTCTCTTTCCGAGTACTGAAAAACCTCGCCCGATTAAATAAACGCCGTCATTCTAATCTATCAACTTTATTTGGTGCCACTTATTTCTGGCCGCTTGGCGTTTTGGGCTTTTGAGCTTGTGCTCTGCAGCCCTGATTGTAGACGTCTTCCCTGGATGGTGAGCGCCGTAATGGCGAGATGTTAATTACCTCGCCTGGTATACAGGAGGATATGGGTTCAATCCCGACCCTGACGCCTGCTGCATATTTAAAGTTTGCGTGTTTTCCCCGTGGTCGCGTGGATTTTCCTCCGAGTCCGCCGTTTTTTCCCCTCCACATTGAGAATCAACATGCGTTTAGAGTTTTTGGCTGCTATAAATTTCCACATAAGCCACTTCATCGGGCTATCATTTGTGAAAGCCAGGTCGCTTCTGAAAAATAACTATATAGCTCAGTGGGCCTTACCTGGTAAAATAAAAATTAACCCGTAAAAACAAAGTTTTTCACTATAAATCCTTTATATGCGTGGCATCGGTTTTATTTTATTATTCATTTCTGTTTTTCTTGAGTAAGAGTTTCATTTTTATCACATTGGTATTTTAAATTAAATATGAAACAAAAATTTCCTAAAAAGTGCAAAATTTTGGAAAAAAAATTTCACGAAAATAAATTGTCACACACAACGAGTCTGTGTGCAAAATGTCAGCTCGATTGGATCACGGGAAGTGGGTTAAAAAACGACCGAAAGATTTGCACGGTCGTAAGCGCGCAAGCAAGCAAGCAAGCAAGTGAACTTAATATAAAGGATTTAAAAATAAAAATGGTTTAGTTTGAAAGTGTCGAGGGGCATTGGGATCCAGAAATGTTTACTATTCGGCGGCTTTGAGACACCGGGGAATCCTAAGCACCCTTTCCAAACAGCTGCTCAGGCTCCCAATCGCACTGCGGCCTGGCAGGACACGGCAGCGTCTTCTCGCCCGATGTTCAAATTAACGACGGTGAAAGTTACAGCTTGGTGGAGGTGGGGAAGGCCTTCATCCAGCAGCGGATTCATCACGGCTGACGAAGTGACACCCTCCAAGACTCACCGGAGGGGCATGCGGAGATCTCCACGAAGTGGTACGGTAGGCGGCCGCGGCGCAGCTTGGCCACGACGTTCTGCACGTTGCGCAGGCCGCACGCGCCGGCAAAGCGCAGCAACACCTCGCCGTCCCGTTCCACGCGCGCCTCCCACATGTCCTTGTTGCTGCGTGACACGGCACGGCACGGGGGGCTCGACTAGCATAGTGGCGCTAGCAGTACTCTAACAACCATGATGGAGGTTTTTTTGGGGGGGTTGGATCGCGTAAATATGTCGTTAAACCCGCCAACACCCCAACACAGCCAACTGGTAAGGGTACATCATGGGACCTCTTTTGCCAGTACCAAAATATACTAATAGGGTTTTTCCCTTTTTTTTCTGGCAACAAAACTGACACCTTTTGCAAGGAATCATGTCTACATTAACCACAATACTTGCAGTCAAATGCAAACAAAAAACAATACTCTGGTAATTTATGGTGTGGACCAATCAGTTTCAAAGACAATGCATAAATTACCAGAGTATTGTTTTTTGTTTGCATTTGACTGCAAGTATTGTGGTTAATGTAAACATGATTCCTTGCAAAAGGTGTCAGTTTTGTTGCCAGAAAAAAAGGGGAAAAACCCTATTAGTCTGTTTTGGTAGTGGAAAAAGAGGTCCCATGATGTAGCTGCTCACCCCGAGCCCTCATTACTCTGGTAGTGTGTTGTCTTGAACTGTGCGCCTTTTGGCGTCATCTGGTCGAACACCATATGAGACGAGGCTCCAAAGAAAGCTGTCTCTGGTGTGGACCAATCAGTTTCAAAGACAATGCATAAATTACCAGAGTATTGTTTTTTGTTTGCATTTGACTGCAAGTATTGTGGTTAATGTAAACATGATTCCTTGCAAAAGGTGTCAGTTTTGTTGCCAGAAAAAAAGGGGAAAAACCCTATTATAACTGGTAAGGGTTTTTCACGTAAACAAAACGTGCCAATTCGTTACTAGTTCAGCACACCGGTGTGTTGGAGAGTAAACCCACAATATCCCACAATATTTACAATTCGAGTATCCTGACGTTTCGCCGGTAATTACAACCGACATAAACGTGGAGGGAAAAACCGGGGGGCCTGGAGAAAAATCCACGTGACCACGGGAAGAGACATGCAAACTCTAAATATACAGAAGGTGTAAGGGGGGTCTTCTGGATATTTAGAGAAATATAACTTATTTCTTTAAAACTTATTTTTGTGTTTAATTGTCCTTCCCCCACACCTCCGATTCGCACGGTTGGCTACATACGGTGCGAAAGAAGTTCAACAGACACACAAACATACTCCTGCATACCAGGCGAGGTAATCTCAGCACCCCGTGCATAGCCACCACCGCCCAGCTCCACGCGTACCCAACATTCACACCACACAACCTTGCGACGTCACTGTCGCACAAACACTTGCCCTCGGCACCACCCTCGGCACCACCCTCAGCACCGCCCTCGGCACCGCCCACGGCACCACCCACGGCACCACCCACGGCACCCATGCCACCACCCACGGCACCCATCTCACCACCCTCGGCACCACCCTCGGCACAACCCTCGGCACCACCCTCGGCACCACCCTCGGCACCGCCCACGACGTCCACGGCACCCATGGCACCACTCACGGCACTCGCGGCACCCACAGCACCACCCACGGTACTGCTCGTGCTCACTCACCGCAGCGTGCTGTAGGTCACCTCTCTCACGTCGACCCCGAAGAGCTCGTGCGCTGCGTGCCTCAGCACGGCCTCCAGGTAGCAGCCCACGGCGCCATCAGGGCCCCCTGGCCGCCCAGGCCCCCAAAGCCGCTCCTGTGCAGGGCCCTCTGCACCCTCCTCCCCGAACCTTAAAGACAAAGATTCCCCCCCCCCATTATAGCCTTGGCAGACTATAGGGGCAAGTGCAGTTAGCGAGTAGCACTTATGAAGGCGGGCACGGCACACGAGGTGGCCAACACCACGCCCAACCGCCTTTGTCTCCCCAGTGGCGATGTTTACACACCGCGCCATGTACTCATTGCGCGGTGTCTAGGAATGGTTCAGATAATCGTCACTGGTGTTGGTCGTGAGCGGGAATCGAACTCGGGGCGCCAGGTTCGTAGCGCAGCGTAGCGCTAACCACTACACCACCATTCCCCAAACCTTAACACACACAAGACAATGCACACAGGCACTCAGTCGGCCCCAACCAGCAACAACAGCACCGATGAAGATCACACAGCAGCAGCAATCATTGACCCCTACTGCAAAAATTTGGCAGGACCCTCCTGAAAAAGAGTCATGGGACTCGGCGAGGCTTTCCTGGGTAAACAAGCAGGATAAAGAATAATAAAAAATAACGATAGAGTGAATTCACGAGGGGTGGGGGCGTGGGTCAGTAAATGGTTCAGTGGTGGGTGAGTGAGTAATTGAGTTAGAATATTAATGAGGAAGTGATTGTGGTGTGGGTGTGTGCGTGGTTGAGTGTGTGTGAATGAGTCAGTAGGTAAAGGTTGAGCGAGTGGGGGAGCGAGTGGCTGGGTGAGCGAGTGGCTGGGTGAGCGAGTGGGGGAGCGAGTGCTGGGTGAGCGAGTGGCTGGGTGAGCGAGTTGGCGAGCGAGTGGCTGGGTGATAGAGTGGGTGAGCGAGTGGCTGGGTGAGCGAGTGGGTTAGCGAGTGGGGGAGCGAGTGGCTGGGTGAGCGAGCGGCTGGATGAGCGAGTGGCTGGGTGAGCGAGTGGGTGGGTGAGCGAGTGGCTGGGTGAGCGAGTGGCTGGGTGAACGAGTGGGTGGGTGAGCGAGTGGCTGGGTGAGCGAGTGGCTGGGTGAGCGAGTGGCTGGTTGAGCGAGTGGCTGGGTGGGCGAATGGCTGGGTGAGCTGGCTGGGTGAGCGAGTTGACGAGCGAGTGGCTGGGTGAGCGACTGGGTGAGTGAATGGCTGGGTGAGCGAGCGGCTGGGTGAGCGAGCGGCTGGGTGATCGAGAGGGCGAGCGAGTGGGTGAGAGCTGGCTGTCCTCACAGAGTATCCAGGGCACCTGGCTCTACCTCCGCCAGTGACTTCCCTTCTGCATCCAGCATGGAAACCAGCTCACCTGAGTTAAAGACACACACAGACACATTCACAGATAAAAACACTAAACTCTCTCACGTAGCCCTCAACAGACTGTGCGGGCAAGTGGTTTTAGTGAGCACCTATTAAGGCGGCACAGCGCATGGGGAGTGTTACCGGTGGTGAGGACGCAGTCCACGTGTGGTGTCTCCACAGTCGCGTGCCGGAACTCTGGCCGAGTGGCCTCCAGCTTCCTGTCGTAGCACGGCATCACCGTGACGTGGAACAGCTCCTCGGGTCCGACTCCCTGCACCGCAAAGACAAAGATCCCCCGTGTAGCCTTAACAGACTGTTGGGGCAAGTGCTGTTATAGCAGGCACCTATGAAGGCCGGCACGGAACACGAGGGGGTGGGTGGCCAGCACCACGTCCCTGTCTCCCCAGTGGCGATGTTTACACACCACACCAGGTACTCATTTGAGGCTGAGTCGACCTATGGGGAGGCCCAGGAATGGTTCACAGTCATTACTGGTGTTGGTCGTGAGCAGAATCGAACTCGGGTCGCCGGGTTCTTTGCGCAGTGTGCTGTTACACTACCCCCACACACACTATATAGTGAGGGGTGGGTGGGTAAATGGGCAAAGAGTGAATGTGTGTGTATGAGACGTTGAATGAATTGGGTTGAGCAAGTGAGTGATTGAGGGGTGAGTGAGCGAATGAGCAAGTGGGAGAATGGTTAATTGAATGGTTACGTGGTTGAGAAATTGGTTTAGATGGAGCTAAGAGGCAAATACGTAATTAAGTGAGTGATATAGTGAGTGAACAGGTGAGTGGCTGAGATGGTGGTTAATTGACACAATGAGTGTATTGGTGGTTGGTTAAGTGAGTGTTATAGTTAAGAGAGAGTATGAGTGATTTAGTGGTTGAGTGATTTTCCAAATATATTTTTTAAAGAGTGAGTGGCTTCATGAGTGATACAGTGGCTGAGTGATATAGTAAGTGGGGGTGAGTGTGTGAGCAAGGTGAGTGTGTGAGCGTGTGAGTGGGTGAGTATGTAAGCGAGTGGGTGAGTGGGTGAACAAGGTGAGCGAGTGAGCGGGTGAGTATGATCATGTAAGCGAGCGCACGAGTTTGTGCGCGAGCGGGTGAGTATGTAAGCGAGTGAGCCGGTGAGTGGATGGGTATGTAAGCAAGCGTTTGAGTGGGTGAGCGAGCGGGCGAGCGAGTGAGCGGGGTGAGCGAGCGGGTGAGCGGGCGAGTGAGTGAGCGGCTGAGTGTCGCGCGACGCCCTCACCTGCCGCTGAGCAAACCTCTCCTTGAGCAGGGCTCCCATCACCTGCTGCGCCGAGCGAACGCGGCTCAGGTAGGGAGTCACCGCCTCCCCGTGCAGTCGCTCCACAAAGCGCACCCAGCCTGCGCCGCGCACAGGTGGTGCCGCTGTGGTCACGGGAGTGGTGGTACAGCGTGATGCTGCAGTGTGGTGGTAATGTGATGGTGTTTTGCGGTGATGGTGTAGTGTGGTGATGGTGTGGTGTCTCTACCGGGGCAGGAGGATGTGAGAAGGGGAAGTCGTGCCGGCTCATGACGGAATCGCTGCACAAACTCGCGCTGGCATTCGGCGAGCGCCACGTCGCGTGCCACCGACACGTCCAGTACACGGTGCACACCTAGCACGAGGGGGGGCGACGCACGGGGAGGGGGGCATGGGAGAGAGGGGGCACGACGGGAGACATGGGGACACGGGGAGACATGGAGACAGGGGGAGAGGGGGATACGGGGATAAATAGAGAAGGGAAGTTGGGTACATGAGTGAGAATTCACCCAGGCAGAGCAGGAATCCCATGATGGTGTGAGTGAGGGAGTGTGAGTGAGGGAGTGTGAGTGAGGGAGTGTGAGTGAGGGGGTGAGTGTGAGTGAGGGGGTGTGAGCGAGGGAGTGCGATCGAGTGCTCACCCAGGCCGTGCAGGAAGCCCGTGAGTCTGCGTGCCGTCTCCGCCGTGTCCATGCCGTACCGTGCCGCCAGCCACGCCAGCGACTCGGGTGACACCGACGCCACCACCTCCCGCACCCGGCGCCCGCCCTGTGACAACCGCCAACACGGCCTTCAGCGGTCGCGAGACACGGGGCGGCGGTGTAGGTGGTGGTTGTGTTGCGTGGTTGTGTTGCGTGGGCGTGTGGGTCAGCGTAGTGGCGAGCGGTGGCGCAGTGGTTAAATTTCGATTTAAAGCTTTCGTGACTGCAGGGATTCATCTTCTTGGTTATTTTATTATTTCCCTTCTACGTGACTTTACCCAAAGAACCAAGAAGATGAATGTTTACAGTTGTGAATGTAGTCGTGGTTTCCCCAGAGCCTCATCACCTCTGGCGGGCGCAGCACGTCCATCAGCTGCTTGGGATTCTGCTGAGCCATGAGCACGCGCTCACCCGCTGACAGGCACCCTCCGCACGCCAGGCAGTCGCTGACCAGCAGAGCCTGCGTCCGCTCCTCACCACCACACTCACCCCGGCCCGGTCCCTTCTCCTCTGCGCCCTGCTCCCCCGCCTGCTCCCCCGCCTGCTCCCCCGCGCTCCCCGCCTGCTCCCCCGCTGCTCCGGGGGTCACCCCTTTCCTCTTGGAGCATTCCTGCACACAGCGGAGATGGTAAGCGAAGTCTAAAATATCGGTATAAATGTATGCGGTGATGCTGCTGCATTGGCAGGTGGTGTCACAAATACAATTCAACATATTCGTCAAGAGGACTGTCACCTTAAAAAGAAAGAGTATATTACTGGCGACGTTTCAGGCAATGACCCTTCTTCAGAGCACGTAGAGAAAGCAGAGAAGTGGTGTTCCAATAAACGGTAAATGACTATACAGTATTTATTTATTTAACAAGGTAAATCCCACTGAGCTGTAAAGCTCTTTTTCAGAAGCGACCTAGCCACAGATTATAGTTCAACAAAGTGGCTCATTCACGTGGAAATGTATGGCAGCCAAATTTACTCTAAACGCACGTTCATTATATAAATGTGGAGCCGGAGAAAGATCTACGCGACCACGGGGAGAGAGACATTGGAAACTCCATATACACAGCAGGCATCGTCAATGTCGACATTGAACCCACGACCTCCTGTATACCAAGCGAGGTAGTTAACATCTCACCACGGAGAGAGAGAGAGACACGCAAACTCCAAATATACAGCAGGCATCGTCAGGATCTGGATTGAACCCACGACCTCCTGTGTACCTGGCGAGGTAGTTAACATCTCACAACGGCAGTGCCCCTGACAGCATCGCTCACTAACAATACTCGCAGCATTACTCCCATCCCAATTCACATCATCACGACACTGCTCACAACATCAAGTCTTACACAATCACTCCCGTCACCTACTCCACCATCACTCGCATCACTTACACCACCACAACTCACATCATCTCCGCATCACCCATACCATCATTTCCATATCATCGTCATGTACACCATCACACCACAACCATTACACCACAACCATCACTCCACAACCATCACACCACAACCATCACTCCACAACCATCACTCCACAACCATCACTCCACAACCATCACTCCACAACCATCACACCACAACCATCACATGATCACAATATCACCCCCCCTCCACACACACGAACAACACTCAAACTATCACACCCACACATCACAATCACCTCCACACCATCACCCCCCACATCACCATCACTCGCACCACCACCCCCCACATCACCATCACCCCCCCCCCACACCATCACCCCCACATCAACATCACTCGCACCATCACCCCCCCCCCACATCAACATCACTCGCACCATCACCCTCACATCAACATCACACCCCACCCCCACATCACCCCCCCCCCCCCCACATCACTCGCAACACCACCCCCCACATCACCATCACCCCCCCCCACACCATCACCCCCACATCAACATCACTCGCACCATCACCCCCCCCCCCCCACATCAACATCACTCGCACCATCACCCTCACATCAACATCACACCCCACCCCCACATCACCATCACCCCCCCCCCCCACATCACTCGCAACACCACCCCCCACATCACCATCACCCCCCCCCACCATCACCCTCACATCAACATCACTCGCACCATCACTCCCCCCAACCCAAAATCGCCATCACCCTCTCACCGCCTTTGTGCAGTGGTCACACGTCATGGCCTCTGCCTGGTCGATCCCGGGAATCCTCCTCACGTATCTCTCCTCACGTATCCCCCTCACGTATCTCTCCTCACGTACCCCTCCTCACGTATCCCCCTCACGTATCTCTCCTCACGTATCTCTCCTCACGTATCTCTCCTCACGTATCCCTCCTCACGTATCCCCTCCTCACGTATCTCTCCTCACGTATCCCTCCTCACGTATCCCCCTCACGTATCCCCCTCACGTATCCCCCTCACGTATCCCCCTCACGTATCCCTCCTCACGTATCTCTCCTCACGTATCCCCTCACGTATCTCTCCTCACGTATCTCTCCTCACGTATCCCCCCTCACGTATCCCCCTCACGTATCCCCCTCACGTATCCCCTCACGTATCCCCCTCACGTATCCCTCACGTACCCCCCTCACGTATCCCCTCACGTACCCCCCTCACGTATCCCTCACGTACCCCCCTCACGTATCCCTCCTCACGTATCCCTCACGTACCCCCCTCACGTATCTCTCCTCACGTATCCCTCCTCACGTACCCCCCCTCACGTATCCCCTTCACGTATCCCTCACGTACCCCCCTCACGTATCCCCCTCACGTATCCCCCTCTCTCTTCCCTTCACCCAGGTCACGCCGACCCAGTCTCTGCTCGAAGCCGCGACTAATATTGAGCAATTCTCCCCACCCCCTCGAACAACAACAAAATAAAACCCCGAGTTAAGCTAAAATACGATAATCATGAGGTAAATACGAGGTAATTATGAGGTAAAGTGTTGATTAATTGTCTTAATTAATTACGCTGAACTATGAGTGAACAATCATGTTGAGGAGTTTAGCGCGGATCGCTTCGTACTGCCCAGGGCCGCCTCCAGCCACAAGACCGTCGACGCAAATTGCCTCGCCTGCAAAACACAAACAGTAATCGATTCTTCGATTGTCCTGTACAAAATTGGGAATCGTAAATTTGTATCTGTTGCTATGGCCGTCTCTGGAATCGATTCCGAGGGGCGTATTTGAGTCGATTACTTTGACTGCTGCTGTGAAAGCGCCCTCAAGGCAAAATCCCTCCCCCATTATGGCAGCAACTTACTCACCCAAGATGGCGGCAAATTACTCACCCAAGATGGCGGCAACTACTCACCCAACATGGCTGTCAATACTCACCCATTATGGCGACTACTCGCCCAAGATGGCGGAAAATTACTCACCCAATATGGCGGCAACTACTCACCCAAAATGGCGGAAACTACTCACCCAACATGGCTGCAAATACTCACCCAACATGGCTGCAAACACTCGTCCAAAATAGCAGAAATCTACTCACCCAACATGGCGACCACAGAGTCCGTGCGGCTGAGTGACGTCAAGAGTCACGTGCTGCACGGCTTGTGAACAACAACAAAAGTGACGACCCCCCCCCCCTCGAGCCAGTGGTGGAAATTCCACGTTCCTCTGAACGGGGACGAGGGTGGAGCATAGAGGGTGGAGCAGTGGTCGGTGGAACCCGCACGCCTCCCGCGTCCACACAGGGAGAGAGAGACCAATATAATCGATAATACATGTTTTTTTTGGGGGGGATTTGATCGCGTAAATAGAAATGTGAAGTTTATTCGATTCATCGTCTTGGTTCTTTCGGTAAAGTCACGTAGAAGGGAAATAATAAAATAATAAAAATATAAAAATTAAATTCTCACGACGTTTCGACTGCAACACCAGCAACCGTCATCAGGTGTGAAATCCACAGCAAGAAAATGTTCTTGCTGTAGATTTAAATGTTTAATATTTTTATTATTTTATTACTGCCCTTCTACGTGACTCTAACGAAAGAACCAAGAAAATGAATCCCTGCAGTCACGAAAGATTTAAATCAAAATTTAATACGGTTTGTTTATGTAAAGTTTGATTACGTGACAAACCTTAGTAATTGCCTGTGTCAGGTGGTGGCGGGTTTAACGACACATTTATATTTACACGATCTAAAACCCCCAAAAAAACACTGTATTATGCCTTTCTGGAGCTTCGTACATTCATATTGTATTTTATACTTAATCATACTTTATGTTTAGCCTTCCGTTTGAAGTCATTATATTATCATCATCATCATCACCACGATACATGGGCACATGACCCCGTGAGGTGTCCACTGCACATTACATCATTTGGCGTTTCCAATTTTCTCTCTCTACGAATTGTAACACGCTCAAGTAGTGCACCACATCTTTCTGACACCCAACGTCTTCCGTTCTTCCTCTGCTTAAAGCAATAAATCCAAAGATCCTGATATCGAACGTACGCATATCGAGGTGTTCACTTCAAAGCCTCTCTCACGAGTCTCAAGATTTTTCCTGCCAAAGTTGTTCGCAGAAGGGAGGGCGATTTTGCTTTTGCTGCTGCTGCTTTGGCTTGCGTGTGATCCAGAATGAGTAATCGTCCGGTCATTTTTCAGCCACTGGGATATTTCTTTGACCGATTCCAGCTTGCACTGTGTTTGTGTTTAACTGCGGGAGGAGGGATGCCGGAGAATCCAGAGGAAACAGATGCAGAACTTGGGGAGATAATCTACAAACTCCACTCACTCTGCAGAACAGCAGGGAATCATACAAACTCCACTCACTCTCACTCTGCAGAACAGCAGGAAATCATACAAACTCCACTCACTTTCACTCTGCAGAACATCAGGAGATCATACAAACTCCACTCACTCACTCTCACTCTGTAGAACAGGGGGAGATCATACAAACTCCACTCACTCACTCTCACTCTGTAGAACAGGGGGAGATCATACAAACTCCACTCACTCTCACTCTGCAGAACAGCAGGAAATCATACAAACTCCACTCACTCTCACTCTGCAGAACAGTAGGAGATCATACAAACTTCACTCACTCTCACTCTGCAGAACAGTAGGAGATCATACAAACTCCACTCACTCACTCTGCAGAACATCAGGAGATCATACAAACTCCACTCACTCTCACTTTGCAGAACAGCAGGAGATCATACAAACTCCACTCACTCTGCAGAACAGCAGGAGATCATACAAACTCCACTCACTCACTCTCACTCTACAGAACAGCAGGAGATCATACAAACTCTACTCACTTTCACTCTGAAGAACAGCAGGAGGTCATACAAACTCCACTCACTCTCACTCTACAGAACAGCAGGAGATCATACAAACGCCACTCACTCTCACTCTACAGAACAGCAGATCATACAAACTCCACTCACTTTCACTCTGAAGAACAGCAGGAGGTCATACAAACTCCTCTCACTCTACAGAACAGCAGGAGGTCATACAAACTCCACTCACTCTCACTCTACAGAACAGCAGAAGATCATACAAACTCCACTCACTTTCACTCTGCAGAACAGCAGGGAATCATACAAACTCCACTCACTCTCACTCTGCAGAACAGCAGGAGATCATACAAACTCCACTCACTCTCACTCTGCAGAACAGCAGGAGGTCATACAAACTTCACTCACTCTGCAGAACAGCAGGAGATCATACAAACTCCACTCACTCTCACTCTGCAGAACAGGAGGAGATCATACAAACTCCACTCACTCTCACTCTGCAAAACAGCAGGAAATCATACAAACTCCACTCACTCACTCTGCAGAACAGCAGGAGATCATACAAACTCCACTCACTCTCACTCTGCAGAACAGCAGGAAATCATACAAACTCCACTCACTCACTCTCACTCTGCATAACAGCAGGAGGTCATACAAACTTCACTCACTCTGCAGAACAGCAGGAGATCATACAAACTCCACTCACTCTCACTCTGCAGAACAGGAGGAGATCATACAAACTCCACTTACTCACTCTCACTCTGCAGAACAGGAGGAGATCATACAAACTCCACTCACTCTCACTCTGCAGAACAGCAGGAGGTCATACAAACTTCACTCACTCTGCAGAACAGCAGGAGATCATACAAACTCCACTCACTCTCACTCTGCAGAACAGCAGGAGATCATACAAACTCCACTCACTCTCACTCTGCAGAACAGCAGGAGGTCATACAAACTTCACTCACTCTGCAGAACAGCAGGAGATCATACAAACTCCACTCACTCTCACTCTGCAGAACAGGAGGAGATCATACAAACTCCACTCACTCTCACTCTGCAAAACAGCAGGAAATCATACAAACTCCACTCACTCACTCTGCAGAACAGCAGGAGATCATACAAACTCCACTCACTCTCACTCTGCAGAACAGCAGGAAATCATACAAACTCCACTCACTCACTCTCACTCTGCATAACAGCAGGAGGTCATACAAACTTCACTCACTCTGCAGAACAGCAGGAGATCATACAAACTCCACTTACTCACTCTCACTCTGCAGAACAGGAGGAGATCATACAAACTCCACTCACTCTCACTCTGCATAACAGCAGGAGGTCATACAAACTTCACTCACTCTGCAGAACAGCAGGAGATCATACAAACTCCACTTACTCACTCTCACTCTGCAGAACAGGAGGAGATCATACAAACTCCACTCACTCTCACTCTGCAGAACAGCAGGAGGTCATACAAACTTCACTCACTCTGCAGAACAGCAGGAGATCATACAAACTCCACTCACTCTCACTCTGCAGAACAGGAGGACACAATGTGTTGGGGAATCGAACCCAGAGCCTTTCTCGAGCATTACCACCGCAACAACCTCCACCCTGCCATCCAACCACTGACCTCGTAGGGTCAACAATCACCAGGGAGACAACTGCTGACCTCACGCAGGAGAGACACAGATTGTGATAGAGAGGAGTCAGGGGTGAGGGGGGTGGCCATTGCACATTTTATTGGGGGAAGGGGGGTTCAAGGATGGAGATCGACCTCCGGCGACCCCTGCACAAACACGGAACATCCATTCTAGATTTGAAGCTTTCGTGACTGCACGGATTCATACTCTTAGTTTTTTCGGTAAAGTCACTTAGGTAAAAAATGAAATTATCAATACAGCAAATATGGCTGTGACGGTCCCACCTGATGACGGAGACTTGTGTTGCCTCCGAAACGTCGTGATTTTTATTATTTTATTAATTTTAATTTCATTTTTTACCTACGTGCCAACCGCCGTCGCCACGCGACAACTAGAAGAGACAGCGTCACCCTCTCCCGCCGAGCTCACCGATGCAACGACGACCACCACGACGACCACGGCGGCATAAACCGCACGGATGAGTCGCTCTCGTAGGGAGGGACAGGGACGACTCGGAGGCACGAGGAAGAGGAGGAGGAATCACAGACGCGCGCTGAGGAGCCGGTGTGATGAGTCTCTAATGGGTCTCTTTTATATCTCTATGAGTCTCTATGGCTTTCTATCTCTATGAGTCCCTATGGCTCTATTTATATCTCTATGGCTCTCTTTGTATCTCTATGAGCCTCTTTCTATCTCTATGGGTCTCTTTGTATCTCTATGAGTTTCTATGGGTCTCTTTGTATCTCAACCAAGACCTCAAGTATTTCACCTCGCCCAGGAATCAAAGTCAAGATCCCCATCCCCTCTGGGATTACGCTGCTGCTGCTGTCACCATCCTAGAATCTCACCACCCAGACCCAGCAGAACGCTGCTGCTGCTGATGTCACCATCCTAGAATCTCACCACCCAGACCCAGCAGAACGCTGCTACTGCTGATGTCACCATCCTAGAATCTCACCACCCAGACCCAGCAGAACGCTGCTGCTGCTGATGTCACCATCCTAGAATCTCGCCATGCAGATCTAGATGAACACTGCTGCTGCTGCTGCTACACCATCCTAGAATCTCACCACCCAGACCCAGCAGAACGCTGCTGCTGCTGCTGCTGTCACACATCCTAGAATCTCACCACCCAGACCCAGCAGAACGCTGCTGCTGCTGCTGCTGTCACCATCCTAGAATCTCACCACTCAGACCCAGCAGAACGCTGCTACTGCTGCTGTCACCATCCTAGAATCTCACCACCCAGACCCAGCAGAACGCTGCTGCTGATGATGTCACCATCCTAGAATCTCACCACCCAGACCCAGCAGAACGCTGCTGCTGCTGCTGCTGATGTCACCATCCTAGAATCTCACCACTCAGACCCAGCAGAACGCTGCTACTGCTGATGTCACCATCCTAGAATCTCACCACTCAGACCCAGCAGAACGCTGCTGCTGATGTCACCATCCTAGAATCTCACCACCCAGACCCAGCAGAACGCTGCTGCTGCTGCTGATGTCACCATCCTAGAATCTCACCACCCAGACCCAGCAGAACGCTGCTGCTGCTGCTGATGTCACCATCCTAGAATCTCACCACCCAGACCCAGCAGAACGCTGCTGCTGCTGCTGATGTCACCATCCTAGAATCTCACCACCCAGACCCAGCAGAACGCTGCTGCTGCTGCTGATGTCACCATCCTAGAATCTCACCACCCAGACCCAGCAGAACGCTGCTGCTGCTGCTGATGTCACCATCCTAGAATCTCACCACCCAGACCCAGCAGAACGCTGCTGCTGCTGCTGATGTCACCATCCTAGAATCTCACCACCCAGACCCAGCAGAACGCTGCTGCTGCTGCTGATGTCACCATCCTAGAATCTCACCACCCAGACCCAGCAGAACGCTGCTACTGCTGCTGCTTCACTGAGTGTAGCAACGTGGACGTCCAGATGAATCAACACCTCCTCATTCGAGACCCAAACATCATCATCGCACCGCCTCCTGCCTGTGGCATTCCTCATCCTCCTCGTCGGAGACACTGGTGGTGGGAGCCATGAACCGCATCATCAGAACATCAACAACAACAGGCCGAGGCGCACATCTCCTTCATAAATAGGAAATTAAAGACACGGGCAACACAAGTGCGATTGAGGCCATGCAACCAACACGATGCACCACAGAGCAAACCCACAGCGACTCGCAGAGACACTTTGAGACCTATAAAGAGCCAAATAGACCCATAGAGACACACAGAGGTACACAGAGATACACTGGATACGAGTCAGAGGGTGACTGTGGCCATGCAACTCAAACTCGGGACCATATCGTAAAGTACCACAGTCTGCGCTCCTTCTACGGAGGAGGTTAAGGAACAGCGACACGACACAAACTATCTCTCTCTGCTGAAGCCCTCTCGTCATGGCGGGCAGCAGCAGGCCACTGCTGCCTTACGCAAGCATAGCATAGAATCGGAGCCACTCCTCTCCGCCGAAATCTAACAGATGCAAGTCTAAACAGCCGAACAGATGTAAGTCCGGACAGATGGAAGTCCCAACAGATGCAAGTCCCAACAGATGCAAGTCCTAACAGATGGAAGTCCCAACAGATGCAAGTCCCAACAGATGCTGGAAGTCCCAACAGATGCAAATAGAAGTCTGAGCAGGAAGGTCAACATCTCCCTCATCCCAAATCTGATTGGCAGCAGCATTTTGCCAAATCAGTCAGGGTATTGATGACCACTGTGCACCAGGCTTCGGACCAGTTCAGATATTCGTCACTGATGTTGGTTATTGAACTTGGATCACCGGGTTCGTAGTGCAGTGCGATAACCGCTGCACTACCGCTCGCTCTACACACGAAGATAAAGACAAAGATCCCCCGTGTAGCCTTAACAGACTGTTGGGGCAAGAGCTGTTAGCGAGCACCTATGAAGGCCGGAATGGCGCACAAGGGGGTGGGTGGCCAGCACCACGCCCGGCCGCCTTTGTCTCCCTAGTGGCGATGTCGACACACCGCACCAGGTACTCATTTGAGGCTGAGTCGACCTTGGGGAGGCCCAGGACCGGTTCAGATAATCGTCACTGGTGTTGGCCGTGATCGGGAATCGAACTCGGGTCGCCGGGTTCGTAGCGCAGCATGGCGCTAACCGCTGCACCACCGCTCCCCACACACAGACACTTGCCCACACTCACTCACACTCACTCACACTCACTCACACTCACTCACTCACACTCACTCACACTCACTCACACTCACTCACACTCACTCACACTCACTCACACTCACACTCACTCACACTCACTCTCACACACACACACTCACTCACACTCACACTCACTCACACTCACTCACACTCACTCACTCACACTCACTCACACTCACTCACACTCACTCACACTCACTCACACTCACTCACACTCACTCACTCACACTCCACACTCACTCACGCACTCACTCACACACTCACACTCACTCACACTCAACTCACTCCACACTCACTCACACTCACTACACTCATCACACTCACTCACACTCACTCACACTCACTCACTCACTCACACTCACTCCACACTCACTCACACTCACTCACACTCACTCACTCACACTCACTCACACTCACTCTCACACACACCACGCACTCCACTCACTCACACACACACACACTCACTCACACTCACTCACACACACACACACTACATCACACTCACTCAACTCAACTCACACTCACTCACACTCACTCACACACTCACTCACACTCACTCACTCACACTCACTCACACTCACTCACCCACACTCGCTCACACTCACTCACACTCACTCACACATCACTCACCCACACACGCTCACACTCACTCACACTCACTCACACTCACTCACACTCACTCACCCACACACGCTCACACTCACTCACACTCACTCACACTCACTCACACTCACTCACCCCACCACACGCTCACACTACACACTCACAACTCACTCACTCACACTCACTCACACTCACTCACACTCACTCACACTCACTCACACTCACTCACACTCCCACACTCACTCACACTCACTCACACTCACTCACACTCACCACCACCACGCTCACACTCACTCACACTCACTCACACTCACTCACCACACACGCTCACACCCACTCACACTCACTCACACTCACTCACACTCACTCACACTCACTCACACTCACTCACACTCACTCACACTCACTCACCCACACACGCTCACACTCGCTCACACTCGCTCACACTCACTCACACTCGCTCACACTCACTCACACTCACTCACACTCGCTCACACTCACTCACACTCACCCACACTCACTCACACTCACTCACACTCACTCACACTCACTCACACTCACCCACACTCACTCACACTCACTCACACTCACTCACACTCACCCACACTCACTCACACTCACTCACCCACACTCACACTCGCTCATACTCACTCACACTCACTCACACTCACTCACACTCACTCAACACACACACACGCTCACACTCACCCACACTCACTCACACTCACACTCACACGCTCACACTCACTCACACTCACTCACACTCACTCACACTCGCTCATACTCACTCACACTCACTCACACTCGCTCACACTCACTCACTCTCACTCACACTCACACACACTCGCTCACACTCGCTCATACTCACTCACACTCACTCACACTCACTCACACTCACTCACACTCACCCACACTCGCTCACACTCGCTCATACTCACTCACACTCACTCACACTCACTCACCCACACACGCTCACACTCACTCACACTCACTCACACTCACTCACACTCACTCACACTCACTCACACTCACTCACCCACACACGCTCACACTCACTCACACACACTCACACTCACTCACACTCACTCACACTCACTCACACTCACCCACACTCACTCACCCACACACGCTCACACTCACTCACACTCACTCACACTCACTCACACTCACTCACACTCACTCACACTCGCTCCACTCACTCACACTCACCCACACTCACTCACACTCACTCACCCACACTCACACTCGCTCATACTCACTCACACTCACTCACACTCACTCACACTCACCCACACTCGCTCACACTCGCTCATACTCACTCACCCACACACGCTCACACTCACACGCTCACACTCACTCACACTCACTCACACTCACTCACACTCGCTCATACTCACTCACACTCACACACACTCGCTCACACTCACTCACACTCACTCACACTCACCCACACTCGCTCACACTCGCTCATACTCACTCACACTCACTCACACTCACTCACACTCACTCACACTCACCCACACTCGCTCACACTCGCTCATACTCACTCACACTCACTCACACTCGCTCACACTCACTCACACTCACTCACACTCACTCACACTCACTCACACTCACTCACACTCACTCACCCACACTCACACTCACTCACACTCACTCACACTCACTCACCCACACACACTCACACTCACTCACACTCACTCACACTCACTCACACTCACTCACACTCACTCACACTCACTCACCCACACACGCTCACACTCACTCACACTCACTCACACTCACTCACACTCGCTCACACTCACTCACACTCACTCACACTCACTCACACTCACTCACACTCACTCACCCACACACGCTCACACTCACTCACACTCACTCACACTCACTCACACTCACCCACACTCGCTCACACTCGCTCACACTCACTCACCCACACTCGCTCACACTCGCTCATACTCACTCACACTCACTCACACTCACTCACCCACACACGCTCACACTCGCTCACACTCACTCACACTCACTCACCCACACTCGCTCACACTCGCTCATACTCACTCACCCACACTCGCTCACACTCGCTCATACTCACTCACCCACACACGCTCACACTCACACGCTCACACTCACTCACACTCACTCACACTCACTCACACTCACTCACACTCGCTCACACTCGCTCACACTCGCTCATACTCACTCACCCACACTCGCTCACACTCACTCACACTCACCCACACTCACTCACCCACACTCACACTCACTCACACTCACCCACACTCACTCACACTCACTCACACTCACCCACACTCACTCACCCACACTCACACTCACTCACACTCACTCACACACGCTCACACTCGCTCACACTCACTCACACTCACTCACACTCACTCACCCACACTCGCTCACACTCGCTCATACTCACTCACCCACACTCGCTCACACTCGCTCATACTCACTCACCCACACACGCTCACACTCACACGCTCACACTCACTCACACTCACTCACACTCACTCACACTCACTCACACTCACTCACCCACACACGCTCACACTCGCTCATACTCACTCACCCACACACGCTCACACTCGCTCATACTCACTCACCCACACACGCTCACACTCACACGCTCACACTCACTCACACTCGCTCGTCCACACACGCCCATGCTCACTCACATTCGCCCACGCTCACTCACACACGCTCACACTCACCCACACTCGCTCACACTCACTCACCCACACACGCTCACACTTACTCACACTCGCTCACACTCACACTCGCTCACCCACACTCACCCACACACACTCACCCACACACGCCCACACTCACCCACACACGCTCACACTTACTCACACTCGCTCACACTCACTCACCCACACTCACCCACACTCATCCACACTCACTCACCCACACACGCCCACACTCACCCACACACACACGCGCCCGCACACGCGCCTTCCCGCTCCCGACGCGAGCGCTGCCCCCACGGGAGGTCACTGCACGCAGCAGGAGGCCAAGCCGCAGCAGTCCTTGAGGAGGGTGAGACCTGTCTTGGCGAACGTCGGCTTTCCCTGCGGGGACCCCTCGCTCTCCCGGCGGTCCCCCGCCCGCACCGCGTCTGCGGAGACACACGCGGACAGACGTCGCGAGTCGCACTCGATAACTACACTGGTCAACACACTTTTTCTGGCACGAGGTATTCCAACGGTATTAAGGTTATTTTATTATGTTTTATTTTTTATTATTTTATTACTTCCCTTCTACGTGACTTTACCGAAAGAACCAAGAAGATGAATCCCTGCAGTCACGAAAGCTTTAAATCGAAAGGTAATAAGGTAATTTTGGGGTGCTGATTCCAAATCTGGCATCAGTTTTTGTCTATCGCATCAGGTTTTTTGAGATATTAAATATTGTATTTTCAATAAAAACTGCGGAAGAAAAATATTCAATAAATGTGTATATCTACATAAAATGATATTATAAACACTGTCCTAAAAATACAGCACCGTATTTTAACACTAAAGCAGTCACTGACTCGCATCAACTTGCAATCATAAGTGACAGAGTTAATTTCTGGTAAAATCAATGAAAATGGGGTATGCCTATAGCATAAAAATGAGATGTGATAGAGCAAATCTGAGATCAGATTTCGAATCGGCACCCTGAAATTAGTCTAGAACAGCTGCAAAAGTCCAGGCCAGAATTTTTTTTTTGTTGACCTGTGTAATTTTTATTTATTTTCCGCACCAGGTATGGGACCCATTGAGCGACCTGGCCATCGTCACAAACGACGGCTCCACTAAGCAGCAGCAGCGGTGGTTCATCACCGTGCGGACATCCGTAGCGGCCGAGAAATGGGCGCGATGTCGATTGACAATTTGGGAGGGATAACGCGCGTGCTCACGAGGTTCAAAGTTCATGTATTAGGTATAGCCCTGTGAGCCATTCGGCTCTTGAATCGGGTGCAACCGCAACAAACAAAAAACAAAAACATGAACAAGAAAACATCTTAAAGTGACTAAGTGCAAACAGAAAATCCAAGAAAAGACAGCAAAATATTGCAGAAAAAAACACCGTACACCAACCCGGTGCAAATATCCCAGTGGGATGCAAGTCAAACAACAACAACAACAACCACAAGACAACTTAGATTAAGGCCATCAGTCTAACTCTGTACTACAACAACACAAACATGGCCAAACCATAAAAGCAATGAAACAGTGGTCATAGGAACTGTGACCGAATTTTCACAATAAACGACATAAACAACATGTACCACCAAACTCTGCAGCCATAGCTGGCTGCACGAGGTACCTGCTCGCAATGGCCGCTCCTTCTTCCTGAGCTTCTTCTGCAGGAAATCTGACATCTCCTTGTCCTCCTCGCGCTCCCTGCGTCACACAGCGCAGGGTCGACCACCCGGGGGAGCGGTGGCGCAGCGGTTAGCGCCGCGAACCCGGCGACCCGGGTTCGATTCCCGCTCACGGCCAACACCAGTGACGATTATCTGAAACGGTTCCTGAGCCTCCCCCAAGGTCGACTCAGCCTCAACTGAGTACCCGGTGCGGTGTGTAGTAAACGTCGCCACTGGGGAGACAAAGGCGGCCGGGCGTGGTGCTTGCCACCCCATCTCCTCGTGTGCCGTGCCGGCCTTCATAGGCGCTCGCTAACAGCACTTGCCCCTACAGTCTGTTCAGGCTACACGGGAGATACTCTTCGGTTTTATCGGTAAAGTCACGTAGGTAAAAATAAAATAATAGTAAATAAATAAATAGAAATTATATTATAAAAATAAATAAATATAATACAAGAAATTCCATTATTTGGTTTATTTCTTTTTATTATTTATTTCTACCTACGTGACTTTACCGAAAAAACCCAAGAGTATGAATCCTCGCAGTCACGAAAGCTTCAAGTCTAGAATCACGCGGGGGATCGTTGTCCGTGGGGGTGCGGGGCGAGAGAGGTGCGCGCACCTGAGCCTCTCGAGCTCCACGTCGTCCACCAGGTAGTCCCTCTTCTCCACCAGCTCGTGGATCGTCCTGATGAGCGACTCCTCCTGGGCACGCGCCGCGCTGCCCGCGCGCTCCGCGTCTGGGGGAGAGCCAAGGCACCGAGGCGAGCGGCGAGGTGCAGGGAGGTGGGTGGAGGTGGGTGGAGGTGCAGGGAGGTGCAGGGAGGTGGTGGAGGTGGGTGGGGGTGCAGGGAGGTGCAGGGAGGTGCAGAGAGGTGGGTGGAGGTGGGTGGGTGGGGGTGCAAAGAGGTGGGTGGAGGTGCAGGAGGTGCAGGGAGGTGGGTGGAGGTTCAGGGAGGTGGATGGGGGTGCAGGAAGGTGGGTGGGGGTGCAGGGAGGTGGGTGGGGGTGGGTGGGGGTGCAGGAGGTGCAGGGAGGTGGGTGGAGGTGCAGGGAGGTGGGTGGGGGTGCAGGGAGGTGGGTGGGGGTGCAGGGAGGTGGGTAGGGGTGCAGGGAGGTGGGTGGGGTGCAGGGAGGTGGGTGGGGGTGCAGGGAGGTGGGTGGGGTGCAGGGAGGTGGGTGGGGGTGCAGGGAGGTGGGTGGGGGTGCAGGGAGGTGGGTGGGGGTGCAGGGAGGTGGGTGGGGGTGCAGGGAGGTGGGTGGGGGTGCAGGGAGGTGGGTTGGGGTGCAGGGGGTGCGGGGAGGTGCAGAGAGGTGGGTGGGTGGAGGTGGGTGGAGGTGCAAAGAGGTGGGTGGAGGTGCAGGAGGTGGGTGGAGGTGCAGGGAGGTGGGTGGGGGTGCGGTGGGCAGCGGCGTGGCCTTGCATGTGGAGGGTCCCCCCGTGAGTCACCTGGGAGGGAGACCAGGGCCTGCAGCTCCACCTTGAGGCGCGAGATCTCCTGGCACAGCTGCATGTCGTCCATCCTGCCGGCACACGGCACCACCGACGGGATCGTCACGCGCTACCGTCGCTCCCGATCCGCCCGTTCGCCACCGGCGGAGCCTCGCCGAGTCTCAAGACTCCTTCTCAGGAGGATCCTGCCAAGTTTTTTTGCTGCTGCTGCTGCTGTTGCTGTGTGTGTGCCTACCGAGTGATTTTCCGGCAGGGGGGGGGGGGGGGGGGGTCGGCCTTGGGAGGTTTGTCTTGCCAATGCAAGCTACATTGTGCGTGCGTGTTGTGTGTGTGTGTGCGGGTGGGGAGTGGTGGTGTAGCGGTTAGCGCTACGCTGCGCTATGAACCCGGCGACCCGAGAGACCCACAGACTCACACAGAGACCCATAGACTCACGTTGAGACCCATAGACTCACATTGAGACCCATAACTCACACAAAGACCCATAGACTCACACAGAGACCCATAGACTCACACAGAGACCCATAGACTCACGTAGAGACCCAGATTCGCACAGAGACCCACAGACACACAGAGACCCATAGACTCACACAGAGACACATAGACTCGCACAGACACCCATAGACTCACACAGAGACCCATAGACTCAGACAGAGACCCATAGATTCACGTTGAGACCCACATGGTCACACAGACTGAGAAGTGCTGAAACCGGGTTCTCATGTGCAGTGAGTTGATGCTCTTGGCCTGGTCACCAATGGCTGCACAAAATGAAATCCCTGATCCCATTCAATTTGATTCTGCACTTCCAGCAGGATGTTGAGGGGTTACTGAGGGGGGTGTTGAGGAGTTACTGAGGGGACGTTGAGGGGACGTTGGGGGGACGTTGGGGGACGTTGGGGGGACGTTGGGGGGACGTTGGGGGGACGTTGGGGGGACGTTGGGGGGACGTTGGGGGGACGTTGAGGGGACGTTGGGGGGACGTTGGGGGGACGTTGGGGGGGACGTTGGGGGGACGTTGAGGGGACGTTGGGGGGACGTTGAGGGGACGTTGGGGGGACGTTGGGGGGACGTTGAGGGGACGTTGAGGGGACGTTGGGGGGATGTTGGGGGACGTTGGGGGGACGTTGAGGGGACGTTGGGGGGACGTTGGGGGGACGTTGGGGGGACGTTGGGGGGACGTTGGGGGGACGTTGGGAGGACGTTGAGGGGACGTTGAGGGGACGTTGGGGGGACGTTGAGGGGACGTTGAGGAGACGTTGGGGGGACGTTGGGGGGACGTTGAGGGTACGTTGAGGGGACGTTGGGAGGACGTTGAGGGTACGTTGGGGGGACGTTGGGGGGACGTTGAGGGTACGTTGAGGGGACGTTGGGAGGACGTTGGGGGGACGTTGGGGGGACGTTGAGGGGACGTTGGGGGGACGTTGGGGGGACGTTGGGGGGACGTTGGGGGGACGTTGGGGGGACCTTGAGGGGACGTTGGGGGGACGTTGAGGGTACGTTGGGGGGACGTTGGGGGGACGTTGAGGGGACCTTGAGGGGACGTTGGGGGGACGTTGAGGGGACGTTGGGGGGACGTTGAGGAGACGTTGGGAGGACGTTGGGGGGACGTTGAGGGGACGTTGGGGGGACGTTGAGGGTACGTTGGGGGGACGTTGAGGGGACGTTGAGGAGACGTTGGGGGGACGTTGGGGGGACGTTGAGGGGACGTTGGGGGGACGTTGAGGGGACGTTGGGGGGACGTTGGGGGGACGTTGGGGGGACCTTGAGGGGACGTTGGGGGGACGTTGGGGGGACGTTGCCTCACATGTATCTGAGTTCCGACTCTCGCCGCATCAGCTGCTCGCGGAGCCGCTCGATGCGGACCAGCTCCTCCTCGAGCTCCTCCAGCGTGGCCGTCGAGTCGGCCATGGACACCACGTCGCCCGCCGCCTCCTCGTCTGCTCCAACAGCAGCAGCAGCAACAGCAGCGTCAACAACAGCGTCAACAACAGCGTCAACAACAGCATCAACAACACCAACAACAACAGCATCAACAACATCATCGACAACGTCATCAGCATAATCAGTAATACCATCAACAACACCATCAACAACAGCATCAACAACAGCGTCAACAACAACAACAGCAGCATCAACAACACCATCAACAACAGCATCAACAACACCATCAACAACAGCGTCAACAACAACAACAGCAGCATCAACAACACCATCAACAACACCATCAACAACAGCATCAACAACAACATCAACAACACCATCAACAACACCATCAACAACAGCATCAACAACAACATCAACAACACCATCAACAACACCATCAGGAACACCATCAACAACAGCATCAACAACAACATCAACAACAACATCAACAACACCATCAACAACACCATCAACAACACCATCAACAACACCATCAACAACACCATCAACAACACCATCAACAACACCATCAACAACACCATCAACAACACCATCAACAACAGCATCAACAACAACATCAACAACACCATCAACAACAACATCAACAACACCATCAACAACACCATCAACAACACCATCAACAACACCATCAACAACATAATCAACAACATCATCAACAACATATTCAGATTCCATCAACAACAACATCAACAACACCATCAACAACACCATCAACAACACCATCAACAACACCATCAACAACATAATCAACAACATCATCAACAACACCATCAACAACACCATCAACAACATCATCAACAACACCATCAACAACACCATCAACAACATATTCAGATTCCATCAACAACAACACCATCAACAACATAATCAACAACATCATCAACAACATCATCAACAACAGCATCAACAACATAATCAACAACATCATCAACAACATCATCATCAACAACAACACCATCAACAACACCATCAACATTATCAACAACACCATCAACAACACCATCAACAACACCATCAACAACATCATCATTAACAACACCATCAACAACACCATCAACAACAGCATCAGGCCGCAGGAATTGTGGTCAATACAAACATGACTCCTTGTTAAAAAAGGTGTCAGTTTTGTTGCCAGATAAAAGGGTAAAAAAAAAACAATTACCACGAGGGTGGTTTAGCAAGCATCGGGCTTGTGAAGCGCGTGTAGTTTGCGGCCGATTCCGATCCGGAATAATTGTTTGATTTATTTTACCGGTTAAGGCGCCTTACCCTGGCTATCACAAATGACAACTCAACGAAGTTGGCCTATCGTCATCATCATCGTTCAGATCAGCCGAATACTCGAAGCGCGTGGTGATGTTGATTCTGAATGCGAGAGACACGCAAACTCCAAATATTCAGAAGCAGGCGTCAGGGTCGGGATCGAACCCACGACCTCCTGCGTACCAGGCGAGGTAGTTAACATCTCCTAGCCACCGCGGCGTTGAGCCGGAATGGTTTGAAGGATAAACGAATGAATGGGCGGACTTTCGAAAAATTGCCGCAATGATTTGGTGCGGGGATTGTGATTTGGTTTGAAATTGTCGACTGCACTGGCACCCCGTTCGGTGACTGAACGTTTGGCTGCTGTTGGATGGCGATGGAGCGAATGAATGAATGAGCTAATGAATGAATGAGCTAATGAATGAATGAGCGAATGAATGAATGAGCGAATGAATGAGCTAATGAATGAGCTCACGAATGAATGAGCTAATGAATGAATGAGCTAATGAATGAATGAGCGAATGAATGAGCTAATGAATGAATGAGCTAATGAATGTGATAATGAATGAATGAGCTAATGAATGAACGAGCGAATGAATGAGCGAATGAATGGCCGAATGAATAAATGAGCGAATGAATGAGCTAATGAATGAATGAGCGAATGAATGTGCTAATGAATGCATGAGCGAATGTATGAATGAGCTAATGAATGATTGAGCGAATGAATGAGATAATGAATGAATGAGCGAATGAATGAACAAGCTAATGAATGAATGAGCGAAGATCTTCCGGCGCCCCCCCCCCCCCCCCCGATTCCTTCATCACCGTGCCGAGCGCCCCGACCAGTGATTCCTTCGGCCGACACCGTTTCTCCCACCCAATTAGCCCCAAGTGCCAACGTGATCTTCTCACAGATTCACTCGCGAATTCACTCACGCTCACATTCGGCTGTCGCGACACAGCAATGCGCGTTCATGTCCCCGTGCCCCCCACTGCCCCCCACTGCCCCGTGCCCCCCACTGCCCCCCACTGCCCCGTGCCCCCCACTGCCCCGTGCCCCCCACTGCCCCCCTGCCCCCCACTGCCCCGTGTCCACCACTGACCCCCTGCCCACCACTGCCCCGTGCCCCCACTGCCCCGTGCCCCCCACTGCCCCGTGCCCCCCACTGACCCCCTGCCCCCCACTGACCCCCTGCCCCCACTGCCCCGTGCCCCCCACTGCCCCGTACCCCCCACTGCCCCGTGCCCCCCACTGCTCACCACTGCCCATCAGTGCCCCCCACTACCCCGTGCCCCCCACTGTCCCGTGCCCCCCACTGCCCCGTGCCCCCCACTGTCCCGTGGCCCCCACTGCCCCGTGTCCACCTCTGCTCACCACTGCCCATCAGTGCCCCGTGCCCCCCACTGCCCCGTGCCCCACCACTGCCCCCGTGCCCCCCACTGCCCCGTGCCCCCCACTCTCCCACCACTGCCCCCCTGCCCCCCACTGCCCCGTGTCCCACCATTGTCCCCCACTGCCCCGTGCCCCCCACCCCACCACCTGCGCGCGTCCCGCGACCCCAGCTGGTGTCGTCCATGGCCCCGTAGCCGCCGCTCCGACTGCCGCTCAGCGCCCTCGGAGGCGTCATCTCGGCCTCCATGGTGCCCAGGCGAGACCCAAGACGCCGCTTCTCCCTCCTCTCTCTCTCTCGGCAACAACAGCCGAGGTGGTGGTGCTGGTGGTGGTGGTGCTGGTGGTGGTGCTGGTGGTGGTGGTGCTGGTGGTGGTGCTGGTGGTGGTGGTGCTGGTGGTGGTGCTGGTGGTGGTGGTGCTGGTGGTGGTGCTGGTGGTGGTGCTGGTGGCGCTGTTGGTGGTGCTGAACTTGCGCGATTGAGCCGCCAGGCGGCAGTAGGAGGACGCTCTTCCATCTCTGATGGCTACACGGCAAAGACAAAGTAGCCCCGTGTAGCCTCTAACACTGCGAGGGGCAAGTGCTGTAAGCAGGGCGGGTTGTTGGGTGGTGAGCACCACGCCCGGCCGCCTTTGTCTCTCTAAGTGGCGGTGCAGGTAAAATCCGTCACTGGTTGTTGGCCGAACTCGGCTCGCCAGATTCGTTGCGGAGCGCGCTAACCGCTGCACCACCGCTCCCTAACGGGGCAGTCACGGGGCAGCACGCAGACACACGCGAGGTCACGGAGTGTCCGCGCAAAATAAAAACATTTTATTTGTCAAGGCAACGTGGAGTACCGGGCCCGGAATATGACCCATCGTAAACACCGCCGCACACCCCGCAAATCACCACACCACCCCAAATCACCAAACCACACACACCCCACATCCCATACACCAGTAACTACTCAGTGGCTGTAGGTAGTCTGTAACTACTCAGTCTGTAACTACTCAGTGGCAGAGGACTGCACTCCAGCCTGGCGCTAGACGCATGATTAAATAACGCATCCGCTACAGATTACCACGTGGTGGTGGTGATGGTGGTGATGATGGTGATTATGATAGTGATGATGATGGTGATGATAGTGATGATGGTGATGATGGTGATGATGATGGTGGTGATGATGGTGGTGATGATGGTGACGATGATGGTGATGATGATGGTGACGATGATGATGGTGATGATGATGGTGATGATAGTGATGATGGTGATGATGGTGATGATGATGGTGGTGATGGTGGTGATGGTGATGATGATGGTGGTGATGATGGTGATGATGGTGATGATGATGATGGTGATGATGGTGGTGGTGATGGTGACGATGATGGTGATGATAGTGATGATGGTGATGATGATGGTGGTGATGATGGTAAGCCACCTACGTAGAGCCAGGTCGTTTCTGGAAAAGGAGCTATGTAACTTAATAACCATCGCTAGTCTACATTATAGACTGCCAGTACACTCATCCAGCTTAATAACCAGGCTACAGTCTATATTATAGACTGCCAGTACACTCACCCAGCTTAATAACCAGGCTACAGTCTACATTATAGACTGCCAGTACACTCACCCAGCTTAAGAACCAGGCACCAGTCTACATTATAGACTGCCAGTACACTCACCCAGCTTAATGACCAGGCTACAGTCTACATTATAGACTGCCAGTGCACTCACCCAGCTTAATAACCAGGCTACAGTCTACATTGACTGCCAGTGCACTCACCCAGCTTAATAACCAGGCTACAGTCTACATTATAGACTGCCAGTGCACTCACCCAGCTTAATAACCAGGCTACAGTCTACATTAGACTGCCAGTGCACTCACCCAGCTTAATAACCAGGCTACAGTCTACATTATAGACTGCCATTACACTCATCCAGCTTAATAACCAGGCTACAGTCTACATTATAGACTGCCAGTACACTCACCCAGCTTAATAACCAGGCTACAGTCTACATTACAGACTGCCAGTGCACTCACCCAGCTTAATAACCATTGCTAGTCTACATTATAGACTGCCAGTACACTCACTCCGATTAAGAACCAGGCTACAGTCTACATTCGTTTTTTTGTGTTTTATTATAAATAATATTTTATTTTTATTCACTTTCTTTTTTATTAAATTTTTACTCACTTTTTTTATTATTTTTCTATCTACGTGACTTTACCGAAAGAACCAAAGAATATGAATCCCTGCAGTCACGAAAGTTTTAAGTCAAAATGTGTTTACCTTTCTTATACGTTTCACTCTCATCGGTTTTTTTTTGCACCCTTTATTGTTGTAACGTTCTAAACGGCCCCGACTGGGCATCTGTGAAAAAGCGCTTTAAATCTCGTCGGATTCCTCCCGCAAGCGACATAAATATTCCGTATCGTTTGTGGCTGTAACTTGCCGGTCATCAGCCGCATCATCAGAACATGAACACACACAGCGATGACCACGTTTCCTTCACGAACATCAACACAAAGACACACAGGAGTGTGATCGTGGCCACGCAACCCAAACGACGGACCATGCACAGTAGCCCCACTGTGCTCTGCACGCTCCGTCAACCACACAAGGAAGAACAGCGACACGAACTCTCTCTCTGTCTCTGCTGAAGCCCTCTCTCCAGGGTTGCGATTTCCGCATGGAAAATGCGGAAGGAGGGTTCAAATTTTCCCGCATTTTTGCTAAAGTCAACCGCAAACGGTGGAAAGACTACTCCTATGACCGCGCGCTTTTAACAACACGTTAATGCGTTCTATTGGAAAGGATACATGCAAGGCCCAGCATCACGTAGGGCTTTGAGTTACTGATTGGAATGAATATATGATTTCCGCATTTCCGCACAAGAACCACATACTTTATTCAAAAGCGGAGCCGTGATTACGAGCACATGTACATGATGTATCCTTTCCAATAGAACGCATTAACGTGTTGTTAAAAGCGCGCGGTCATAGGAGTAGTCTTTCCACCGTTTGCGGTTGACTTTAGCAAAAATGCGGGAAAATTTGAACCCTCCTTCCGCATTTTCCATGCGGAAATCGCAACCCTGCCTCTCTCGTCGTGGCGAGCAGCAGCAGCAGCAGCAGCAGGAGACCTCCACATTGCCATCGAGATCCTGAACCACAGAGCTGCTGCTGCCCCCGCCGTCGTCGTGCGCGCGAATAGAACGGAAGCTTCTTCTTGGTTCTTTCGGTAAAGTCACGTAGAATGCAAATAATACAATAATAATGCTAATCCTGCATAATGCATTTCACAAGTAGTACTAATCGCATATCTGCATTTCCCATAAATATGCTAAATTCCTCTTGATATGCAAATTATTTTGTCAAGGCTCTCTTCCCCCTCCATCCCAGCTTAAATAGACGCTCCAAGCCTGGGGTGTGTCATTCAGACTCTGTCTTCTCGACAGACCTGGTCTTCACCTGGTCTTCACCTGAGGACGGCTGCTTGCGTTGGTGGCCGAAACGTCGTGAGAATTATTATGTTTTATTTTTATTATTTTACTATTTCCCTTCTACGTGACTTGACCGAAAGAACCAAGAAGAAGAAGAAGGGAAGCTATCGAGTGTGCAGGCGGTGCAGCTGCACTGGGGCAGGAGTTGAAGCGGCTGCGTCAAGAGTGCCGGACCGGGCGAAGCCACCGGGGGTGCCCCCCCCCCCTCAGGGGACCCTCTGCCAGGATCCGTGGGGGTCCCGGCGGTATCTGCGAGCGGCGCCCCCCGGGAAGATCGCGTCGCTGGGCTCGGGGTGCAGCAGCATGAAGCGCATCAGCTGACGCATGTTCGCCGCAAAGTCCGGGGGCTCCACCAGCGGCGACGTGGACAGGAACTGGCGGTGGGAGGCACGGAAGAGAGGGGGGATGTTAGACACGGAGTGACATGGGTCACGGAATCAGACGTGTGGGTCACGGGATCAGACGTGTGGGTCACGGAATCAGACGTGTGGGTCACGGGATCAGACGTGTGGGTCACGGAATCAGACGTGCGGGTCACGGGACGTGATGCAAGGGTCAAGGGTCATGGGACAGACGGGACACGTGGGACGTGATGCACATGGACATGGGACACGGAACATGGGAAATGCGACGTGGGATATGATGCCAGAGGTCACAAACGGGTTTTGATTCCTTACCCGTACCCGGCCGCACCAGGGTCACAAACGGGTACCCGTAACCTACCCGATACCCGGCTACCCGGCCGGGTATCGGGTAGGGTACGGGTACCCAATTGCGACTTCTGGGATGAAGCCATGTTGCAGGCGCGGGTGGGTTGATTCTAGGAACTTGAATTGTGAGAAGAGACAAGCCGTTGGGAAATGAGTGACAAACGGTGACTCACCAGTGACTCACAGCCTACCCGTACCCAGCCGCACCAGGGTCGCAAACGGGTAGCCGTACCCGGCCGGGTACGGTACGGGTAGCCGGGTATCGGGTAGGGTACGGGTATCGGGTACCCGGTTGCGACCTCGGCATGATGCGTATTACGTGGGCCACGGGACATACGGGACGTGAAAGTCCACACAAGGGATATCACGCGTGGGACATGGGACACAGCACACATGGGGCGAGATGCGTGGGACATGGGTCCATAGGGGACATGGAAGTCACCACAACATCATGCGTGGGACATGGGACGTGACACGTGGTAGTCGTAGTAATAACAAGAATGATATCATCTTCTTGGTTCTTTCGGTAAAGTCACGTAGAAGGGAAATAATAAAATAATAAAAATAAAACATAATAAAATTCTTTTAAAGCTTTTGTGACTGCAGGGATTCATCTTCTTGGTTCTTTCGGTAAAGTCACGTAGAAGGGAAATAATAAAGTAATAAAATAAAACATAATATTTTTTGTTGTTGTTATTTTATTATTTCCCTTCTACGTGACTTTACCGAAAGAACCAAGAAGATGAATCCCTGCAGTCACGAAAGCTTTAAATCGAAGAATGATATCAACTCTTAACGCCGCGCTGACACGGTGCTTGCTCACTCTCGACGAGACAGAGGGGGGGGGGCGGAGGGGAGCCGGGGCCAACCACTGCCCAAGCTCTGCGATCCTCTCTATATCAAGGTGCTATCGGCCAATGAATGTGTGTGTGCACGTGGAAGCAACCCGGAGTGCCCCGAGAAAACCCACCACGCATGACCTCTGTAATGACCTCCGATTACCTCGGTGATGACCTCTGTGATAACCTCTGTGATGACTGCGATGATGATCTGTGATGATCTGTGATAACTGCAATGATGACCTGTGATGATGATCTGTGATGATCTGTGATGATCTGTGATTACTGCAATGATGACCTGTGATGATCTGTGATTACTGCAATGATGATCTGTGATGATCTGTGATTACTGCAATGATGATCTGTGATGATCTGTGATGATCTGTGATGATCTGTGATAATGATCTGTGATCTGTGATGATCTGTGATGATCTGGACAGATGTGCACATCCGTGAAAAAGCGATTAAAAGCTCATCGGATTTTATCCAGTAAAAGTAAAGATTCTGATTCAGATGATCGCTGTGATGACCTCTTACGACCTCTGTGATGACCTGTGATGACCGCTGTGACCTGTGATGACCGCTGTGACCTGTGATGACCTGTGATGACCTTTTACGACCTCTGTGATGACCTGTGATGACCGCTGTGACCTGTGATGACCGCTGTGACTTGTGATGACCACTGTGACCTGTGATGACCTGTGATGACCGCTGTGACCTGTGATGACCGCTGTGACTTGTGATGACCACTGTGACCTGTGATGACCTGTGATGACCGCTGTGACCTGTGATGACCTGTGATGACCTGTGATGACCGCTGTGACCTGTGATTGACCCCTTATGACCTCCGTGATGACTTCTGCGCGATCTGCGAGTGACCTGTCTGATGACCTCGTCCGGCTGCACGAGCCACAGCGTCACGTTGTGCCAGCGCGTCCACGCGATGGGCTGCACGGTGAGCTCGCCGCGAGCCCTGCAGTACATCACGCCCATCTGCCTCGCCGCACACAAAGACAAAGCACCCCCCGCCGCCCCCCGTGCAGCCTTTAACACACAACGTACGGGGAAAGTGTTAGCGGCGAGCACCTGTGATGGCCGCCACGCATGTAGAGGTCGCAAACGGGTTTTGATTCCGATTTAAAGCTTTCGTGACCACAGGGATTCATCTTCTTGGTTCTTTCGGTAAAGTCGCGTAGAAGGGAAATAATAAAATAATAAAAATAAAACATAATAAAATACAATTCTCACGACGTTTCGGCCACAACGCAAGCAGCCGTCCTCAGGTGAAGAACAGGTCTGTCGGAAAGACAGCATCCATTCAAACACTGTCTTATTATGTCCATTCGGACGCTGTCTTTCTGACAGACCTGTTCTTCACCTGAGGACGGCTGCTTGCGTTGTGGCCGAAACGTCGTGAGAATTGTATTTTATTATGTTTATTTTTATTATTTTATTTCCCTTCTATGTGACTTTACCGAAAGAACCAAGAAGAGGGGTTTTTATTCTTTACCCGTACCCGGCCGCACCAGGGTCGCAAACGGGTACCCGTACCCGTACCCTACCCGATACCCGGCTACCCGTACCCAGCCGGGTATTGGGTACGGGTACCCGATTGCGACCTCTGGGATGAAGCCATGTTGCAGGCGCGGGTGGGTTGATTCTAGGAACTTGAATTGTGAGAAGAGACAAGACGTTGGGAAATGAGTGACAAACGGTTACTCACCAGTGACTCACGGCCTACCCGTACCCAGCCGGGTATGGGTACGGGTACCCGTTTGCGACCCTGGTGCGGCCGGGTACGGGTAGCCGGGTATCGGGTAGGGTACGGGTATCGGGTACCCGATTGCGACCTCTGATGTACATACGTTGAACTGCTTTCGCATTGGTCGGTCAGTGCCATTGACGAGCGTTTTGGGTTCACAGGACAATTTGGATTTGGTTGTGGAACGGTGGCGCTGTGCTAGGAGCAATGTACATACATCTTTAGCATCGTACGTAGCCAACTGTGGCTAATGGAAGGTGCGGGAAAAGGACAACAAACTATGGGTCTCTGTGTGGGTCTATGGGTCTCTGTGTGGGTCTATGGGTCTCTGTGTGAGTCTATGGGTCTCTGTGTGAGTCTATGGGTCTCTGTGTGAGTCTATGGGTCTCTGTGTGAGTCTATGGGTCTCTGTGTGGGTCTATGGGTCTCTGTGTGAGTCTATGGGTCTCTGTGTGAGTCTATGGGTCTCTGTGTGAGTCTATGGGTCTCTGTGTTGGTCTATGGGTCTCTGTGTGAGTCTATGGGTCTCTTTGTGAGTCTATGGGTCTCTGTGTGAGTCTATGGGTCTCTGTGTGAGTCTATGGGTCTCTGTGTGAGTCTATGGGTCTCTGTGTGAGTCTATGGGTCTCTGTGCTAGTCTATGGGTCTCTGTTCGAGTCTATGGGTCTCTGTGTGAGTCTATGGGTCTCTGTGTGAGTCTATGGGTCTCTGTGCTAGTCTATGGGTCTCTGTGTGAGTCTATGGGTCTCTGTGTGAGTCTATGGGTCTCTGTGCTAGTCTATGGGTCTCTGTTCGAGTCTATGGGTCTCTGTGTGAGTCTATGGGTCTCTGTGTGAGTCTATGGGTCTCTGTGCTAGTCTATGGGTCTCTGTGTGAGTCTATGGGTCTCTGTGTGAGTCTATGGGTCTCTGTGCTAGTCTATGGGTCTCTGTTCGAGTCTATGGGTCTCTGTGTGAGTCTATGGGTCTCTGTGTGAGTCTATGGGTCTCTGTGCTAGTCTATGGGTCTCTGTTCGAGTCTATGGGTCTCTGTGTGAGTCTATGGGTCTCTGTGTGAGTCTATGGGTCTCTGTTCGAGTCTATGGGTCTCTGTGTGAGTCTATGGGTCTCTGTGTGAGTCTATGGGTCTCTGTTCGAGTCTATGGGTCTCTGTGTGAGTCTATGGGTCTCTGTGTGAGTCTATGGGTCTCTGTGCTAGTCTATGGGTCTCTGTTCGAGTCTATGGGTCTCTGTGTGAGTCTATGGGTCTCTGTGTGAGTCTATTAATGCCTGTGTGTTGAACTTCTTTCGCACCGTACGTAGCCAACCGTGGCTAATCGGAGGTGCGGGGTGGTGGACAACAAACTAAACTAAGGACGATCTCGATTTGAAGCTTTCGTGACTGCAGGAATCCATACACTTTCGGTAAAGTCCACCTACGTGGTTTTACCGAAAGAACCAAACAGTATAAAGTAAGGACGCTCCGAGCGTGGGGAGTGCCTGGCACGCGGCGGAGGAGCGTCTCGCAGGAGTGAGTGCCACCGCTCACCTCGTTGTCACCGTGGTTTCTGGAGTTCCTCAAGGCCCGGTCGGGACCCTTGTCTGGAAACCGCGCCCTGAACAGAGATCCCGCGCGGACATCCACAGCTACGGCACGCGGAGCCAACACACGCACCACGAGTTGCGATTATTGCCGCTGTTGTTGCGATTCGGCTCGTTCACACAGGATTAAAACCAAACTACCTTGAAACTATTCAACTGCAGCCACCCCTCAGATTATCCGCGTGCAGATTAACCGCACGGCACCTGAGATTTAGACTCCAGTTAATAACTCGTGGATTTGAGTCACACGCAGACACGTCACACACTCTGTGTGTCACACGCAGACACGTCACACACTCTGTGTGTCACACTGCAGACACGACACACACTCCGTGTGTCGCACGCAGACACGTCACACACTCCCTGTGTCACACGCAGACACGTCACACACTCCGTGTGTCACACGCAGACACGTCACACACTCTGTGTGTCACACGCAGACACGTCACACACTCGGTGTGTCACACGCAGACACGTCACACACTCTGTGTGTCACACGCAGACACGTCACACACTCCGTGTGTCACACGCAGACACGACACACACTCTGTGTGTCACACGCAGACACGACACACACTCTGTGTGTCACACACAGACACGTCACACACTCTGTGTGTCACACGCAGACACGTCACACACTCTGTGTCACACGCAGACACGACACACACTCTGTGTGTCACACGCAGACACGACACACACTCTGTGTGTCACACGCAGACACGACACACACTCCGTGTGTCACACGCGGCGGTTACCACGCAGCATCACACATGGGTGAGAAGGAGGCTGGGTTGGGAGTCTAACCGATGCCGTAGATCACGGGCCAGTGGTGTCCTTCCCGCAGCTCGTCATTCAGTTCTGCAGCACAGCGGCAGCACAGCACATAAAGACACACAGCACATAAAGACACACAGCACACACAGCACGCACAGCACACACAGCACGCATGAACAATCTTACACACACAGCACGCATGAACAATCTTACACACACACAGATTAATTGCACACACACTCACACACTCGCACACACTCTCACACACACTCGCACACTCTCACACACACTCTCACACACTCGCACACACTCTCACACTCTCACACACTCACACACACTCACACACTCACACACACTCTCTCACACACTCTCACACACTCACTCTCAGGCACACACACTCACACACACTCACACACACTCACACACACTCACACACACCACACACACACTCTCAGGCACACACACGTACACTCACACACACTCACTCTCAGGCACACACACAGTCACACACACAGTCACACACACTCACACACTCTCACACACACACTCACACACACACTCACACACTCTCACACACACACTCACACACACACACACTCTCACACACACACACTCTCACACACACACTCTCACTCACACACACACACACTAACACTCACACACACACTCTCACACACACACTCTCACTCACACACACACTCACACACACACACTCTCACACACATACACTCACACACACTCTCACACTCTCACACACTCTCACACACACTCTCACACACACTCTCACACACACTCTCACACACACTCTCACACACACACTCTCACACACACACACACACACTCTCACACACGTAGAGTCCCGTTCCTACCGGAGGCACAGAATGTGACGAGGTGGATCTCTTCCTTCTGCTGGCTGAACGCGTCTGAAGAGACAAATACACAAAGACAAAAATCCCCCTTGTAGCCTCGCCAGACATTAGGGGCAAGTGCTGTTCACGAGCACCCATCCCAGTCTACACCCACTCATCCCGGCGAGTGAGGTGAGTGCAGTGAGTGCGGTAAGTAGGGTGAGTGAGGTGAGTGGGGTGAGTGTGGCGAGTGCGGTGAGTAGGGTGAGGTGAGTGGGGTTATTGAAGTGAGTGCGGTGAGTAGAGTGAGGTGATTGAGGTGAGTGCGGTGAGTAGAGTGAGGTGAGTGCGGTGACTGTGGTGAGTGAGGTGATTGAGGTGAGTGTGGCGAGTGCGGCGAGTGGGGTGAGTGGGGTGAGTGCGTCGTGTGGCGAGTGTGGCGAGTAGGGTGAGTGAGGTGAGTGGAGTGAGTGTGGCGAGTGCGGTGAGTAGGGTGAGTGTGGTGAGTGTGGCGAGTGTGGTGAGTAGGGTGGTGAGGTGAGTGTGGTGAGTGTGGCGAGTAGGGTGAGTGAGGTGAGTGGGGTGAATGTGGCGAGTGCGGTGATTAGGGTGAGTGAGGTGAGTGTGGCGAGTGTGGCGGGTGTGGCGGGCGTGGTGAGTAGGGTGAGTGAGGTGAGTGCGGTGAGTGCGGTGAGTGTGGCGAGTGAGGCGAGTGTGGTGAGTGAGGCGAGTGTGGTGAGTGAGGTGAGTGAGGCGAGTGAGGCGAGGGCAAGCCTCACCCAGCACGTCGAGGGTGAGGCGCTGAGAGATGCTCCTCTCATCTTCAAAGCCTCCAATCACGTGCAGGTCCAACCTACAGCACCCGGCCAGCATCGGGACAGAGGGATCACGCACGGGACACTCACGGGGAGCAGAGGGAGAGGGGCGAGGGAGACATGGGGGGGGGGAGACTTGGGGGGAGACATGGGGAGGGAGACATGGGGAGGGAGACATGGGAAGGGAGACATGGGGAGGGAGACATGGGGGGGGGGAGACATGGGGGGGGGGAGAGATGGGGGGGGGGAGAGATGGGGGGGGGAGAGATGGGGGGGGAGACTTGGGGGGAGACATGGGGAGGGAGACATGGGGAGGGAGACATGGGGAGGGAGACATGGGGAGGGAGACATGGGGGGGGGAGACATGGGGAGGGAGACATGGGGGGGGGAGACATGGGGGGGGGGAGAGATGGGGGGGGGGAGACATGGGGAGGGAGACTTGGGGAGGGAGAGATGGGGAGGGAGACATGGGGAGGGAGACATGGGGAGGGAGACATGGGGAGGGAGACATGGGGAGGGAGACAAGGGGAGGGAGACATGGGGAGGGAGACATGGGGAGGGAGACATGGGGAGGGAGACATGGGGGGGGAGACATGGGGGGGGAGACATGGGGAGGGAGAGATCGGGAGGGAGACATGGGGAGGGAGACATGGGGAGGGAGACATGGGGAGGGAGACATGGGGGGGAGACATGGGGAGGGAGACAAGGGGAGGGAGACTTGGGGAGGGAGGCATGGGGGGAGAGATATGGTGGGGGAGACATGGGGGGGAGACATGGGGAGGGAGACATGGGGAGGGGGAGACTTGGGGGGAGACATGGGGAGGGAGACATGGGGAGGGGGAGACTTGGGGGGAGACATGGGGGGAGAGACATGGGGAGGGAGACATGGGGGGAGAGACATGGGGAGGGAGAGACATGGAAAGGGGGAGACACGGGTAAAAAAATAGTGAGAGAGTCATGGGGAGGCAGAGAGGGGTTGAGGGAGCCGGGAGGGTGAAGAGTGAGACAGAGTGACAGAGGCTGGGTTAGGGATGGTGAGGGTGGCCGGGTGAGAAAGACAGGGTGAGGTTGTGCGTGGATGAGGAGCGATGGTGAGGAGGAATGGTGAGGGTGAGGAGGGATGGTGAGGGTGGGGAGTGATGGGGAGGGTGAGGAGTGATGGTGGGGGTGAGGAGCACTGGTGAGGCTGAGCTATGATCAGTGGGGGGGGGGGGGGGGGTGAGGAGGCACCTGCCGGGCGACTGCGTGGGCGACAGGGCGAGCACGTGCTCGACCACGGCCCTCGCTCCGCGCGCCGTGCCGCTCCCGTCAAAGTGGCCCAGGCACACGGCCCCGCTGCCTGCACGACACACACACAGAGAGGGGGGGGGGGGCCCCAACCGCGTAGCCTCAACCGACTGCCGGGGCGAGGACGCGGCGGCTCAGGAAGAGGATGGGCGACGGTCGAGAACGACGACAGGAGAATCCGCGGATTCTCTGCGCCCCCCTCCGCCGAAGTCCCCCGTGCGTGGCGGATGTGCCGGGCTCGCGTTGTGTTGCAATAAAGACACGCTCGTACAACTTCTTGGTTCTCTCGGTAAAGTCACGTAGAAGGGAAGTAATAAAATAATAAAAATAAAACATAATAAAATAATTCTCACGACGTTTTGGCCACAACGCAAGCAGCCGTCCTCAACCTTCCCTTCTACGTGACTTTACCGAAAGAACCAAGAAGATGAATCCCTGCAGTCACGAAAGCTTTAAATCGAAATTTACGCTCGTACAAGTTCAGATGTTGTTGTTAAAATGACGATGCCGGGAGTGACGGCCAAGGGTCGCGACGCTCCGTCCGCGAGACGGAGCGACCGGGGCGGCTTCATCGCGGGAATCGCGAGTGGCGGCGGTGGCCGCCGGTGGCATGGGTGAGGGAGGCCTTGATCCAGAGGCCTTCATCCAGCAGTGGATTGACCGTGGCCGACGACGGGGACGGTGGTGATAGTTCGGAGTTGCGGTTCGCAGGGTGAGCGGATATGAGAGCGGCGGATATGGGGGCGCACCCTCACCGCTATGGCGCAGCACCACCAGGTGGCAGGTCGTGGCCTCCTCCGAGCCGAGCAGCCACGCGGCGTCTGGGGTTAGGGACGGCAACAACAGCAGCAGCATCAGCAGCAACCCAGAGTGGGGTGAGTGCAGAGGTCACAAACGGGATTTGATTCCTTACCCGTACCCGGCCGCACCAGGGTCGCAAACGGGTAACCCTTACCCGGCCGTACCCGTACCCTACCCGTACCCTACCCGTACCTGGCCGGGTATCGGGTAGGGTACGGGTATCGGGTACCTGATTGCGACCTCTGGGATGAAGCCATGTTGCAGGCGCGGGTGGGTTGATTCTAGGAACTTGAATTGTGAGAAGAGACAAGACGTTGGGAAATGAGTGACAGTTACTCACCATTGACTCACGACCTACCCGTACCCGTACCCGGCCGCACCAGGGTCGCAAACGGGTACCCGTACCCGTACCCGGCCGGGTATGGGTAGCCGGGTATCGGGTAGGGTACGGGTATCGGGTACCCGGTTGCGACCTCTGGGTGAGTATCTCCTCAGTGGTGGTGAGTAGCGTGTGTGGGGTGAGTAGCGTGGTGAGTGGGATGAGTAGCGTGGTGAGTGGGGTGAGTAGCGTGGTGAGTGGGGTGAGTAGCGTGGTGAGTGGTGGTGAGTAGCGTGGTGAGTGTGGTGAGTAGCGTGGTGAGTGTGGTGGTGAGTAGCGTGGTGAGTGTGGTGATAGGGTGGTGAGTGTGGTGGTGAGTAGCGTGGTGAGTGTGGTGAGTAGCGTGGTGAGTGTGGTGAGTAGCGTGGTGAGTGGTGGTGAGTAGCGTGGTGAGTGTGGTGAGTAGCGTGGTGAGTGTGGTGAGTAGGGTGGTGAGTGTGGTGGTGAGTAGCGTGGTGAGTGTGGTGAGTAGCGTGGTGAGTGTGGTGAGTAGCGTGGTGAGTGGTGGTGAGTAGCGTGGTGAGTGTGGTGAGTAGCGTGGTGAGTGTGGTGAGTAGGGTGGTGAGTGTGGTGGTGAGTAGCGTGGTGAGTGTGGTGAGTAGCGTGGTGAGTGTGGTGAGTAGCGTGGTGAGTGGTGGTGAGTAGCGTGGTGAGTGTGGTGAGTAGCGTGGTGAGTGTGGTGAGTAGGGTGGTGAGTGTGGTGGTGAGTAGCGTGGTGAGTGTGGTGAGTAGCGTGGTGAGTGTGGTGAGTAGCGTGGTGAGTGGTGGTGAGTAGCGTGGTGAGTGTGGTGAGTAGCGTGGTGAGTGTGGTGAGTAGGGTGGTGAGTGTGGTGGTGAGTAGCGTGGTGAGTGTGGTGAGTAGCGTGGTGAGTGTGGTGAGTAGCGTGGTGAGTGGTGGTGAGTAGCGTGGTGAGTGTGGTGAGTAGCGTGGTGAGTGTGGTGAGTAGGGTGGTGAGTGTGGTGGTGAGTAGCGTGGTGAGTGTGGTGAGTAGCGTGGTGAGTGTGGTGAGTAGTGTGGTGAGTGGTGGTGAGTAGCGTGGTGAGTGTGGTGAGTAGCGTGGTGAGTGTGGTGAGTAGGGTGGTGAGTGTGGTGGTGAGTAGCGTGGTGGTGAGTAGGGTGGTGAGTGTGGTGGTGAGTAGCGTGGTGAGTGTGGTGGTGAGTAGCGTGGTGAGTGTGGTGAGTAGCGTGGTGAGTGGTGGTGAGTAGCGTGGTGAGTAGCGTGGTGAGTGTGGTGGTGAGTAGCGTGGTGAGTGTGGTGAGTAGCGTGGTGAGTGTGGTGAGTAGCGTGGCGAGTGTGGTGAGTAGCGTGGTGAGTGTGGTGAGTAGCGTGGTGAGTGGTGGTGAGCAGCGTGGTGAGTAGTGGTGAGTAGCGTGGTGAGTGTGGTGGTGAGTAGCGTGGTGAGTGTGGTGAGTAGCGTGGTGAGTGTGGTGAGTAGCGTGGTGAGTGTGGTGAGTAGCGTGGTGAGTGGTGGTGAGCAGCGTGGTGAGTAGTGGTGAGTAGCGTGGTGAGTGTGGTGGTGAGTAGCGTGGTGAGTGTGGTGAGTAGCGTGGTGAGTGTGGTGAGTAGCGTGGTGAGTGTGGTGAGTAGCGTGGTGAGTGGTGGTGAGCAGCGTGTGTGGGGTGAGTAGCGTGGTGAGTGTGGTGAGCAGTGTGGTGAGTAGTGTGGTGAGTAGTGTGGTGAGTAGCGTGGTGAGTGTGGTGGTGAGTAGCGTGGTGAGTGTGGTGAGTAGCGTGGTGAGTGTGGTGAGTAGCGTGGTGAGTGTGGTGAGTAGCGTGGTGAGTGTGGTGAGTAGCGTGGTGAGTGTGGTGAGTAGCGTGGTGAGTGTGGTGAGTAGCGTGGTGAGTGTGTGTGAGTAGCGTGGTGAGTGTGGTGAGCAGCGTGGTGAGTGGTGGTGAGTAGCGTGGTGAGTGTGGTGAGTAGCGTGGTGAGTGTGGTGAGTAGGTGGTGAGTGTGGTGTCGTGGTGAGTGTGGTGAGTAGGTGGTGAGTGTGGTGAGTAGTGTGGTGAGTAGGTGGTGAGTAGCGTGGTGAGTGTGGTGAGTAGCGTGGTGAGTGTGGTGGTGAGTAGCGTGGTGAGTGTGGTGAGTAGCGTGGTGAGTGTGGTGAGTAGCGTGGTGAGTGTGGTGAGTAGCGTGGTGAGTGTGGTGGTGAGTAGCGTGGTGAGTGTGGTGAGTAGCGTGGTGAGTGTGGTGAGCAGCGTGGTGAGTGTGGTGAGCAGCGTGGTGAGTGTGGTGAGTAGCGTGGTGAGTGTGGTGGTGAGTAGCGTGGTGAGTGTGGTGAGTAGCTGGTGAGTAGCGTGGTGAGTGTGGTGAGTAGCGTGGTGAGTGTGGTGGTGAGTAGCGTGGTGAGTGTGGTGAGTAGCGTGGTGAGTGTGGTGAGTAGCGTGGTGAGTGGTGGTGAGTAGCGTGGTGAGTGTGGTGAGTAGCGTGGTGAGTGTGGTGAGTAGCGTGGTGAGTGTGGTGAGTAGGGTGGTGAGTGTGGTGGTGAGTAGCGTGGTGAGTGTGGTGGTGAGTAGCGTGGTGAGTGTGGTGGTGAGCAGCGTGTGTGGGGTGAGTAGCGTGGTGAGTGTGGTGGTGAGTAGCGTGGTGAGTGTGGTGGTGAGTAGCGTGGTGAGTGTGGTGGTGAGTAGCGTGGTGAGTGTGGTGAGTAGCGTGGTGAGTGTGGTGAGTAGCGTGGTGAGTGGTGGTGAGCAGCGTGTGTGGGGTGAGTAGCGTGGTGAGTGTGGTGAGTAGCGTGGTGAGTGGTGGTGAGCAGTGTGGTGAGTGTGGTGGTGAGTAGCGTGGTGAGTGGTGGTGAGCAGTGTGGTGAGTGTGGTGGTGAGTAGCGTGGTGAGTGGTGGTGAGTAGCGTGGTGAGTGGTGGTGAGCAGCGTGGTGAGTAGTGGTGAGTAGCGTGGTGAGTGTGGTGGTGAGTAGCGTGGTGAGTGGTGGTGAGCAGTGTGGTGAGTAGTGTGGTGAGTACCGTCCGTGGGCTCTGTCGCCGCCATCTCTCCCTGGTGGAGGTAGACGAGGCCCTCGGGGCCCACGGTGCGGACGGGCTGGGCCCTCAGGGCAGCAGCGTCGGCCTACAGCACACACAGCAAGTTACACACACAGCACACACATACAGCTAGTACACACACAGCACACATACACACAGCAAGTTACACACACAGCTAGTACACACACAGCTAGTACACACACACACAGCAAGTTACACACACAGCTAGTACACACACACACAGCAAGTTACACACACAGCACACACATACAGCTAGTACACACACAGCACACATACACACAGCAAGTTACACACACAGCACACACATACAGCTAGTACACACACAGCACACATACACACAGCAAGTTACACACACAGCACACACATACAGCTAGTACACACACAGCACACATACACATAGCAAGTTACACACACAGCTAGTACACACACACACAGCAAGTTACCCCACACAGCACACACAGTACAGCTAGTACACACACACAG